TGTGAATCCTCTTCCCCTCAGTCCATCTTAAACTCGCTCAGGTCCAGAGTCGTCTCTGGAAGTTTCTGGATCTTGTTTATAACTGGTTTCCTCTTTGCATGGGTCAGTTTTAACCTGCATTTGTGGATTCAGTGATGAACTGTATTTATAGACAATGTGATCTTGAGCCCATACGGTGTTTTCCACTACAGAGTCCTGTCTGTTTTTAATGCAGTGCTGCCTCAGGGCCTGAAGATCAAGGCTGTCCTGTATTGGTTTTGATCTTTGTCTCTTTTGTACAGAGATGTCTCCAGATTCTCTGAGTCTTTTAATAATATTATGTAATCTAGATGACGAAATTCACTCTCTTTATGATATTTTTTGCTTGTTGTTCATGAACACACTGATTAACACTGAGCAGGAGAGGGTGTCTGAGCTTCCTTGACACTGAGAGACTACATCTTCACTCTTAAAACGAAGGTTAAAACCAAGACTGACTGTTCAATCCCAAAGGGAATCTAGACATTGATCATAGTTGTGTCTGACGAATCCCTGAGAAAAGGTGGGTGGTGAATGAAAAGTGATGATTTTGCGAAGACAGTCATATTGAGAGCGCTGATAAAAGAACTGATTAAATAACGCTGCTGGAAAAAGTGAGCTGACATGCATGAGTAGGAAAAAGAGAATTACTGTTCAACTGTTAATGCGAATCTTATCTTTAGACCCAAACCTAACACTTCTTTAGGCTGGAAAACAGACTTTAAACAGCAACACCTACATGAGTTGATCAAGAACAGAAAGAATGACTTAAACAAGCTGTGAAAAATGACCGAAAGTAACCTTTTGTTCTGCTGGTACCCCAGTAAGAATAAGTTTAAGGTTAATCAAATAAAGTCCTTAATAATTAATTGTACTATCTCTCTGCTCAGCGTGACAGTTGCCTGGAGAAGCAATAAATATTGAAAAATGTGTCATGACCCTCTCCTTATCATGAAGACATTACATTTGGTCCTGGTCTCCACAACAGATTATCAACAGCTCGTCTTATCTGGTCGTTATTAACAGCTTCAACTTTCTCTCTTATCAAAGACTCGCTGCAGATGGATTTAGGAAACAGGCGATAACAATCACAGCACTGATACCGCTAGAGCTGAATCAATAAATACAGAGGGGGTCAGAGGCATTAACATGGATCCTCTGTGGATAGACGCGTACAGTTATCAATTTGTTTACAGGCGTTCCTCAGAACAAAACGTTATTGCTCAACACACCTGTAATAATAGATTAACATTTATCAGTGTGTGACCGAGGATGTCTCTCTGAGATGCACCTGATGCCCGCGTCCGCGCCTGAGCTGATATTTAAGGTGTTTCTGATAAACAGAGAGATATGTTCAAGTAAAGTGGGGGAACAACAATAAAAGAGGAAGAGATGTTGTAAAAATTCAAGATTTCAGTCACAGACGATCAGGAGGATTTTCTGCTCTTCCTTTCTTGTGAGTTATGGAAATTTGAAGTTAAACTTTTTCTTTTGAGGATCATATTAAAGATATTTTATGTTACAGCGACTGTTTATCGATCACAAAATCCCCTCAGGATGCGCTTCCTGTAGATACAGAATGAACAATTTTCACCTGGGATGCCCTACCTGAAGCTCAAATGTAAACAAAGTTCCCCATGAATGCCTCTTTAGTGGATGAAATGTAAACAAAATCTTCTCTGGATGCCGTACCAGTAAATTAAATATTGAAAAAGGTTTCTCTGGCTGCCCTTCTGCTGGATACAATGTCAACCAAATTTTCTTTGAATGCCCCTTTAATTGATGTAATATAATCAAACTCCTTTCTGGATGCCCTTTAGATAAATTTAACATGAACATTCCTACAGCGGATAAAATTTTAAGTCTCTCTGGATGCCCTTTTCAAGGATGTAAGGTTTTCTGTGGATGCCCCTTTGGTGGATAGAATTAAAACAAAATCCCTTTGGCCTGTCAGTCAGATAATATACAAACTAAGTTTCTTCTGATGTAAACCAAGTACTGACTGAATGCCCTTTCAGCAGTTTTCATAAATACACATCCTTAGATCTATCAAATATATTATTTGCACTTCATGGAGCTAACTTTTACATGCACTGGATGATTTACATCTCACAGAGAAAACTTATTTTCAAAAAGTGGATGACCCTGTACCTTTCACCTGCATCACGCCTCATTTTTTTGTTGCAGCTTTTATGTCCATGCATTTTTCTCCCGCACCAGAAAAAGTTTTTTTCGCATCTTGGACGTGTGCAGAGATAAGATGCTGCTGGGAAACTGAGTATCTGTCTTAATGTTTGTACACATGCATGAAGGTTAGATGGTGAGATGTCGCAGGCCGGGGTCGTGATAGGGATCATCAGGGAGCTGCGGCAGGTTAAGACCTGCTGTGTGATAAAGACTGACTCTCGGCAGGATTATTTGGTGAAAATTCACTGAAAGAAATCCTCCTCTAAAGGTCCCACACGGGCTGAGATCTACAGCCAAAGGCAGCCTGTGAATTTCTCTCAGAGCTCTGTTACGATCAGTTGTTCTTTATTGTAGCTACAACATTGTTAGTGGTTAGATTTATTTAGAAAGCCTCCCTTTTTCTCAGCACAGCGTGAGTTATAGCTACCACCACTTTGATGCTCTTTTTTTTTTCTTAAACCCACTTTTATTAAACTCTGCCACTTACATTTTTGGCCTGTTTGCCTCCCACACTTTTTAATCACGCCAAAGCTAATGTTTTTAATTTATTGTACATTTTGACATTTCGCCCCAGCTCTTAATACTTCTCAGATTTAGAGTGTATGTGGTGGATGGTGTTTTTCAGCTGTGTTGTTGTGTAAGAAGGTAGAGAAAAGAGGAGAAGAAAGAGGAGGAGGAGGAGAAAGACGGAGGGGCAATACCGCACAAACATTGTCTTTTGTTCGGAGTTGCGACAGCTGGAGCTGTAAAAGCAGCAGAAATATTTAAAAATGAGGCGGAGGGAGGAGGAGGAGAGGGTGCATTTTCTAATCAAACCAATGACAAACAATAAGCACGGGTTCTCCCTCATTTGCTCCGCTGAGTTTATGTCACTCAGGGCTGAGACTTTTACAGTTTTTACGCTCTTAAATCGGCTTTTTCTTACACGATTTTCATTCTCTGGTTTAAAATGTGCACCATATCATCTTTCCTCGCTCTTCTCTGAGGGTCACACATGTTGGCAGAAATCATCCAGGGGCTCGTATGTAAATAAAAGAAGTCCATTTAGCCTGAGCAAGCTGGCAGCTCTTTGATTCGTTGGCTCGTGTCCCCGGTCGGGTCTGGCAGCGGTTCTGGTGACATTAGCCGTATTAGATGTTTGGCTGACGCTTTCTTATCAGAGGACATTTAACCCACAAAATTCTCACCAGTGTTTGAGCTGAAAATGTAAGGATGTAAAGGTGCTAATAACTGGGAAAAAGCATAAAACCTGTCTCTGTTTCAGCTCAGGAGGAGGGCTAAATTCTGGTTGATTTTATTAATTGAGGAACCTTTTCTTGGCTGACAACTACAACTCACAACTTTTATCAGGCATTACAATCTAAGTGAAGTACAGATATGAATTCCCAGTATGTCGACACTTATCAGGCTATAAAACTGGGTCTGTAAATTGCTTAATTAACGTCTTTCATATTTATCTCCATAGGTCGTCAGATCAGAGGTCTAAGACAGTCATTCCTTGTCTTCTACCACGATTTGACACTTAAAATTTGAATAGCTTAAAAGTGAAAAACAGCATCTTGATTCTTCTGTGCATCTATGATCATTTGCATTAGTAGATATGACTTTCATTGCAGCCTTCTTATAATGTTATTACATTTTGGTTTATTTTATGAGCATCCTAAAACTTTGTGTAGTCACTCCAGGTCGGTGTGTGTTGTTGTTGTGACTGAGTGATGATTTCCTGTACTCCTAGATTTATTATTAATTATGGGTCTGATTTCCAAACACTGTAAAGTACTTCTGCCGGTCATACTCGGACTCTTATGACGCAACATAAGGATGCAAACCCGTTTATGATCCACTCTGATGTGCTCCAGGACATACAATCGATTGCCACACCTGTTGATCAGTATTGCTTCCATTATGAACAAACACTTTCTTAGAAAAGGAGTGGCTCCAAAGATTCACTGCTGGGAAAAATATGTCGCTTTGATGGATTGGCAGTACACTACCTATAATTTTAGGATGGCATAGACTGATATTAATCCTCAGATTAATATATATATATTCAAATGTACGATTAATGAGTTCTTTCAAAGTTGGACTCTCTTCTTTAGAGGTCTTAGTAAGAAGTTTAGCTCATGTTGAATTTATTAATATGTCTGCATGTGTGATTAAAAGTATATTATAAATACAGTTGCTAGTGGATTTGAGATGCCTTTGAAATAATTATTCATAATTATCTAAAATTACATATATAAATGTAAAAAGACATGCTAGAAAAGTGGTTTAAATTTATATAAACAATACAAATACAAAAGTTTCATTAGTCTCCGCTGTTCTTGTTGTCATATGATAAACCTTGAACCATCTGGAGGGGCAGTAAGTCGGGGTTATGAGTTTCTGTCTCTCTTATTTTGGGGGATTTGGGCTGTAAAGTTTGAGGACCTCTGCTCTATTGAACATGTGGGGCAGGAGGAGGGTGTGTGTGGGTTCACTCTAAATAAACTACAGTGTGTTTTCATTATGTTAAAGAAATATGTCAACCAGAGCAAGAGTGTGGCTCACTGATGTGTTCAAACTGTTTGATTTTAACAACAATGAAGCTTTACGGAAAACAGGAAAGAATCAGGTTCTGACCAGTAAACAACACCGGTGAATTTCACTCTTAAAGGTTTCGGATGAAAGTAAAACTCTCTGACACATAAAATGACTCTCTACAACATAAAAACACCAACACAGACCTTCATTTATCCTCTTACCTTTCAGACTCGTTCTCTCTGGCTGGAGCTCCTCTGGGGGTGTGGAGGAGGATGGAGAGAGGAGAAGAGAGTCCCATCACCCAGGATAGTCCTGAGCGGAGGGGCAGCCCGGACCTCAGCGGACTCCCACCGCCCATGAAGAAAGGTCGACTGGAGCTGAACGGAAGTCCAACAGGGCCAAGAATACGCCACAATGGGGCCCCACCGAGACCACTAGGAGGTAAGAAACTCAGGTTAAAGCAGGTTGTATCTTCTCTTCTCAGGAGCAGGTTTTGCAAATTAGTTTGTATACTTTGAGACCTATAACCATCATAATCTTTTGCTGATTTTCTGGATGTGGCTGTGCCCTAAATTGCGAGGAAAACTTGACTTCTGAAATTTTAATTGATGCTTACTGTTTAAATGTGCATGATGACAAAAATACATTTCTTAGAAGATGATAACTATTCTTCAAACCTCGTGCATGATAAGAATTTGAGATTGCTGAGTTTTGTGTCAGAGCTTTTTAAACTCTCCGTTACTGAACAGACTCTGTGGAGCTGTTTCCTCTGCAGAGATCCAGACCAGGAGCTGAGTTTGGCTCTGTGCTGCTGTGTTTGAAGCAAGGCAGGCGGCGCTGCTGGAGAAGCCGAGCTGTTTCTGTTAATCTATAAGTCAGGAGGGAACTGTATAATACTCGCTCACCAAATAAAGGAGATTGCTCATATAAATAAGATTTATACAACTCACTCTGGCTTATCGATCCCTGCATTCATTGTGAAAGTTGTTTCTTGTTGATGTGTGCACATGTATGCATGTATTTATTCTTCTCGCTGGAGGTCCGTGTTGCTACATGTTCTGCGGAAATGTGGAAGATTATCCCTATAGATCCTTTTCCATCCTAAAGTAGAAAAAATAAGCCCTTTTGCTGAACCATTTACCATTTAAGAAACACATCTAAACTCTGGAGTTCAATGACTGCTCATGCTTTTGTTTCATCTCGGTTTTATTATTGCAATTCTCTCGATTCCCCTGACTCAGCTTTGAATCGTCTGCAGCAAGTACGTAATGTCGCTGCTCAACTTCCAAAAAAAATCATCCAGACAATCTCACATTAGAGCCATCTTCAGATCTTCGTACTGGATAAAGCAGATGCTGTCCCTTTCAGAGAGACGCTCATATCCCTGACGCGTGTGCCAGCCTCAGCTATCTGCACGGATTAACTTCAGTAAAACTTGAGCTCAGACTTTGGTTTGTGAAGATTAACTCGACTTAAGTTTTGGAGGAGTTACAGAGGCCAACAAAATCAACAAGGAGGTTAGATCTAACCACAGGGGGAGGAGGAGGAGAAGAAGACGAAGAAGAAGAAGAAGAAGAACCCTGTTTAGGAAAAGTGACGGGGTCTAAAGGGCGGGACTCGGAAAGGAAGGAGGAGAGGAGCAAACGAGGAAGGGGTTTCCTGCTCTGAGGGGATGGTTGGCCTGTAATAATGACAGGTTGTCTTTGAAGACAGGAAACTCAACGTGTCTCCTCCAAACCACACTGCTGCTACGAGGAGGGGGCCACACACGCACTCGCACACTCACACACACATTCAGAGCAGTATTTACACTAGAAATACACTGCTTTAAGTTCTCACACACACCCCATACATCCACAGTCACACACTTCGACACTGTGGCACTCACACCCAAGAAACTCAGCCATAACACACACCCATACGGACACACACCCACACAAAACACACACATATCTTATTTTAATGCCCCGTTCACTCATCCCCGTACATATTAGAGGGATTAGAGGTTTGAGGCAACATCACATCATCCAAACCAGATCATACGGGGAGACAGCGAATCACAGGACAGGGAGAGAGAGAGAGAGAAAGAGAGAGAGAGAGAGGGCTGGTCGGAGGAGCCGCTCTGTGTTGACAGTTATATTTCCCTGTTGGGGGAAATTCACTTACTTGAATTGGCACGGCGCTCCAGTGTGTAATTCACTCCATGAGAGCCTGGAGGACTGGGAGCTGAGTGATTAATGAGGAGGAAATAGAAATAGAGGAATTGACTGATTAAAACAACGGGTGGGATGGATCTGAGGAGTGTGTGTGTGTATGTGTGTGTGGGTACGCACGTGCATGCTGGGAAAAAGCAGCACATGTGTGTGCTTGGTATCCGTGCCCCTGTGTTATTAGAGCTGGGACGCTGCCTAATGCTCTCAGTCCATCATTTCTTCAGAGGGCTCTAATTAATTGGCAGTTGACAGGTGGCCCAAAACCAAAAGCCTTTTAGGAAAAAGGCGGATATTGAAGAGGAAGGATTGATATTACAGCGAGGAGCCAAGAGGGCATGGAGGATGTGGGAGACCGATATTTAAAGTAACCAAAAACTGGAAACACTGGAGCAGCACAAGTGCCTGACTTCACTCATACTGTATGTTGGAATCCCTAAATAGAAAACATGCCATTTGATAAAACAGTAACGCTGCACATCAGGCTATCATCACGGTATGTTAAGAACAACCTAGAAATAAAGAAGGAAGTTAATGCCTCCACTGTGAGAACCTTCTACCTGTACTAGGAACCACAGATATTACATTAAGATCGCCACTATGATGCACCAGCTCTGTAGAAGTTTACACATAGCCTATTTTGAGTCTTACTTCTGGATTAGACTGGAGTTTTAGGGGTTGCACCAGCTAAAATAGTTGCATCCCAACTTAAATTATAAACCCACCTCTGAGTAGATGTAGTAGGTTGTGGACCTCAGAGAATAGGTGGATGGTGCACCCGTCTACATCCAGAAGATCTCCTCAGTTTTATTGTTGTCAAGTTTGAGAGGAGTCATGACATCCAGGTTTTGGTTTTGCAGTGGTGGATGAACAGGGATTGAAGGCGTTGTTGAGTGGAAGGTCTTATATCGCAGAAGAGCCGTGTGCCATCCAGGTATGAGTGGAAGTTGAGACTGTGCTGGCAAATGATCCATTCCAGGTAGAGCATGTAGATAATGAAGAAGAGTGGTCCAAGCATGGAGCCCTGAGGCACACCAGGGTTGACAGGGAGGCAGGAGTTGCCAATGTTTTAAAGACAAAACAGAAAGCAGAAGAGAACCGTCCCAATGAAACTGTATGAAATGAAAGGCTAGCGAGCACTATGACGAGTCAAATTCATGATGATAATGAACACAACAACAACAACAACAACAACAGAGGAGATATTAATGATGTACCTTTTAAGAATGTAGATCCTGGAATAAAAGAGAAACACTGGTTACTTCAGATGCACATCCATCCATGATGAATATGTACTATATTATGATGGATATGCAGCAACAAAACTTACAACAAAAAGAACAAAAAATATTAAAAGAATCATAAGTATAAGTTTTTTTTTCTTTTGAGCCATGGTCAAAGTTTAAAGTGTGGGACATTTTTAGACTTTGTCCACCTTGAAGGAGGATAAATGTCAGGATACTAATTTCTGCTATTATTAGACGTGCCCTTTAATGTTTAGTCAAATGGTGCTATGAAAAACAGCTGTTGGATCAGAGATGAGTATTTTTCCATGACTATGCTGCTCTGAATAATAACCAGTAGTTACATAGACTGTCATTACTAAAGAAAGGAAAGCATTAGTCATTTTTTCAACTGATTTTTTCCTTACAAGGAAATTTTATGGCCCCTATTTTGTGACTATTGTCCATTTTGAAATCATAAAGTTAAAAAAAAAGTTCAGAAGCCTCTCACAGAGAAGTGTGGTTGGCTCTGTGAGTGGGAACTCTTTCTTTTCATCATTTTCAGCTCTTTATGACTCAGCCATAGTTGTGGCAGATCAGAAAATGAACATATGAATAATTTGTGTTACTGTTTCGGGAAAGCAGAGAGATGATTGTTTTGAAGTCAGTGACAACGACCAATTTTGTCATTTAGGTTTGGATGACCACCCGCTGAGAGACGCGTTGATAAAACGCAGAGATGACTGAGGGATGAGACTCATCCCACAATAATGTCACATTTCTCTCCGTTTAACTATTAATAAAGTGTCCCCGCTTTTATCCTCCACATGTGCTGCTGTGAGGAGGTTCAGAGAAAGACTCTAGTGTGTCAAGGTTTTGTGGGAGTGTTGAGAAAGCTCCAACAGCTGCTGGAGGATCTGGTCTGTTTCTCACCTGGACTGAATTTGCAAATTTGAGGAAGAATTTAGAATCACTCAGCTCATTCAGAGTTTTATTTTTTGCTTTAAATCTCCTTTTAAAGGTTTGTATATCTGTTATTAGCACTCTGATGGGAGCAGAAGACTGCAGGTGTGTGTATTTGAATGATATTTGCATGTCTGTTATTATTATGGCATCCTATCTAATAGGCCGTTAGATAAAATGCCTTGAAGCTTCTCGAGGACAGTGAACAGCTCTGTTACTGTCAGTTTATGAGTGCAGTTTGTATTTTCAGCATCTTTCCATGCAACAGAAAGATAAAGTGATATAAAATAAAACTCGTGTTGATCATAGATGGTCTGTTTTACCTCCACAGGTCTAATGATTCCAGTTTTCTGCGTGGTGGAGCAGTCAGATGGAGGGATTCAGACAAACGGATGCGAGAACAGAGAGGAGCACGCAGAGTTCGTCCTGGTCAGGAAGGACATCCTCTTCTCTCAGCTGGTGGAGACGGCTCTTCTCGCCCTCGGATACTCGCACAGCTCAGCCGCCCAGGCCCACGGTCAGTCTGAGACAAAAACTGCCATTTCGCTTAAACCTGCAAATATTTCCTTTTTACTGGGAGAGGTTTCAAATCAGACTCCAGGCTTCAAAAGTAGATGTGACTGCCACCATCTGAGTCTTTACCTGCTCAAAGTTTGAATACAACAAGTAAAGTTTTGGAGTCTAAAGCAGATTAACATTGACATGAAAATGAAAACAGACAATTAACTGAGTCGAAGCCACAAAAGCCGAGATAACCGTAGAGAAAGTCATCGCAGCTAAAAACCTAAAAATGCACCATCACTGGAAAACTGATGCTGCTGATCTTTGAAGTGGTGACCAAACTGTTTGTAAGAAGTGAAGTGGTGACTCAACAAAACACAATCCTGCAGCTGTAATCAATGGTTGTGCAGATAACCAAGTTTCAACTGTCTAAATAAATACACATAAACAGTGTTCCCAAAATCTGATCTATACTGTCATTGAAGCATCTTAGGTAAAGCTTTTGTTTGTAGAAAGAGGGTTCATGGAGGACATTAATAACAGTCATGACTTTCCATCCACCGCACGTCTCTCTCGGTGTAAACTCTGCTCCTTCTGACTCAGAATTAAACACCACACACACACACGGGACAGAAATGATCTCTGACTCTGATCGGCGTCTTGAGAAGAAAACTGGATGTGAGGTCGACTATTTAGAGCCGACACCAAACTGTCAGAGCCGCAATAAGGACAAGAATGTTTGAAAAACACAACTAAGACACAGACAGAGACTGTAAAACTCATTAAAGACACGACAACAAAGAGCCGGACAGGAATGTCTCCACGAGACCAAAATACACTCTGTGTGTGTGTGAGTGTGTGTGTGTACAGTATGTGTGAGAATGTTTATGAAGCAGAGGAAAAGAAAAACTCTGTAATTTATTGTCGCACACATGGTAGTCATCTGCAGCAGGACAGTGTCGTTTACTGCTGTCTTTTCTCAACTATGCAGAAAATGCCATCTGGGGAAGTTGCCTCACATCGAAATAAAATGGAAACAACAGCAACACGCAACACGAGTATCGCAACAGAGCGAAGACGGTGGGAGATCCCCATCTGTTAGAGATCTGGCTGTAGCGTTTATGTATCTGTGTGTGTGTGTGTGTGTGTGTGTGTGTGTGTGTGTGTGTAGTTACTGCATAAGTACGAGTGTTTGTGTGTACCTGTGAGTGTGTGTTATCCCATCCCATAAACACAGTCACAGGTAATCCCTTTACAGCCTCAAGGCCAGCAGCTCTTATCAGACCTCCAGCCCACCTGAAGCAGAGTGTGTACTCTTGACCTCTCTGCTTTCTCTTTACCGTCTTGATTCAGTCCTGTCATATGTTTCACTTTGGTTCTTGCAGAGCTTTGAAATCACATCTTAGAGTCAGGTGCATCAAGTGCAAAGTTGGACAGTAGTATGGAGGGCGTTGCATGTCACCTCGGGATGCAGTGAAGCTGCAGGAAGAGCAGGTTTATCTTAGCATGAAGACAAGAGAAGCAGCTAGTCTGGCTTTGTCTGTGTTGAACATGGACTGTTTAAAAAGGTAGACATTTTTTATCAATGTGAGAACTAAAGACTGGTTTGGTTTGGATGCCAGTCAAAAGCAGTGCATAGACTGCAGCTCCGAGTATCACAGTTAAAATGTCAGTAAATTTTGGCTTTACTTTTGTTCAGTGGTTGAGGGCAGAGTCCTGTCGTCCCTGTTTGCATACAGTGAATTGTGTATAAAGCTGAGTTAAACACTAGAGAAAATATTCACTACATTGTAAAAAACAAGAGGATTTATTTATTTATTTGATAAATTACTCTTATTAATTTAATCTCTCTTTGATTTGTTATCAATTTAATCAAATCTATTAATTTACTCACTCATTTATTGTTAAATATTTCAAACTTTATTTATTTTTCTATTTATTTACTTTCTAACATATTTATTTATATATTTGCACATTTATTTAATTAATTACTAATTTATTTATCTATTTTTAATTTCACAATGACTTATTTATTCATTTTTTGATGAACTATTTTCATACAGATTCATTTATTTACTAACTTACTATTAATTTTCTGAAATAGATCTCCTTTTATGTTTATTTATTTGTTTTATTTGTAATATTTATTAATCTTTTATTTAATTTTATAATTTAGTCTCTTTTCATTTATTTATATTTTATTTAATTATTGATTTTTTTAATGTAATATTCATTTAATTTACAAAACCTTCAAATTTATTTTTTTCCCAATTTATGTATTTATTTCTCTATTTAAATCTATTTATTTATTTACATATTTATTTACTTATTTAATTCTCTATATATATGTTTGTTCGTTCATTTAGCACATAAGACAAAAAAGGAGCCTAAAAAACCCATAAAAGTGCTGTCGAGCAGTTGTTCTAATAAGAAATATTGATTATAAAGTCTAAATGGTGAAGTAAGAGAGAAAATTTCTAAACAGCTGAATCTGTTTTCTCTGATTATCTCCTTTGAGCTACATGTCTAAATGGCTGCTTCAGAAAATGCTGGGACCTTGATGTCCTAGAATTGTCTTGAATTTGTCAGGAGTTTGTGTTTGCATGGGGCTTGTGAACCCCAGACAAGCTGGTGGCGTGATTTTTATTGTCCTGCTGTGCCAGCTGTATGAGTCATGGTCATGATCGTACGACAGGAAGAAACAGAGGTGTGTTCCATTTGTTCACCTGCCATCTGCATAGGGGGAGGGAAGAAAGGAAATCCAGTTTCCATCCTGATTCCATAGCGAGAAAATGACCTGACGTGTGTTTAAGTCAAACCTGATGTTTTAATTTTTAGCAAAGGCATCTTCCATTACACTTACTGATGCCATTAAACTGCGTTTTGAAGGTTTGCTTTGCTTAAAGCTCCTGCAAAGTGTTGTTGGGTGGTTGTGCAACAAGCTAAATTTAACAGTGAGGCCTCCTTATAACTCACAAAAGCAAACAAGAACATTAGGGGCAGGATTGGTGGTTGCCATACAGTAATTTTTCATGCTTTGAACCACCACTGACAATAAGATCAACAGCATGCTGCAAAATGTAAGCTTGGTTTCATTTTACAGAGAAAGATTACTTAAGGACTGATACATTTGAGAAAAACTTACACATGAACAGGATGGAATAAGCAAGAGGAACAGATGCATATTTTGCCCTCAGTTAGCATCAAAAGCACAACAAGCAGAAAGTTCCTCACAGGAGCTTTAAGAGGTCTCATAAACAGACCAGTATCACAGAGAATATCTTGAACATGTTCACTTTTTATCATCTAGTTGAAGATTTTTTGGTGTTTCTTCGTAGACTTAAAGATTTAGATGTACCATTAACAGCCAGTTGGAGTAATAAACAACACACAGATGCACATTCCCAGCAGACACAGCCTTAAATAAAACACTAGAATAGTAAGGGGAGTGTTAGTTACGGTTTGCACATGAATGCCATTAGTAGCACTTTTAGCCTCTGTGTTTTTGCCAAACATCAGGGGAGGTCTCTCTCTGTCTGTCTCATCAGAGTGTGTGTGGAAAACAGAGAGCCACATTGGTCCCCTGTCCACATCAATGGAGTCCCCTCTCTAAAAAAACGCACCACAGCAGGGGCTTCAAAGGCCGAGACCAAACGGGACATCACAAACAAAACGTCCCAAGAATGACACGCTTGTAAACTTTATTTAACCCGTGCTGGGATGCACATATCTGCACATGCAGGAGTTCACACACACACACAGGGCGTAGATACTGTGTAGTCATGCAGTATCACAGACAAAACACACACACACGCCCTTCCCCCAGCTCCTCTCAAATGAATACTTTTTGTTTTTTAAAACAAGCGTTTATGTTAAATGAATAATTTCTGGCTTAAATTATACATTTTTTCCCCTGCGGTCCACGACCAAAATTACACAGAGTCCCGGCTATTTTCTCCCTGTTTGAATTGTGTCCTGCATTCTTGCGTCCCAGCGGTGTATTTAAAGTCCCCGCCGAGGACCACGGCCTTTCTTTAATTAGCTCAGCCCAGTAATTAACTGGGAGATATTGTTTATTTCAATTATAAGGGTCTGAAGGCTTTTATAGAATGGATGGGAGCAGACCTGTACTTTACGGCTTTACTCGCTGAACGGTTAACAGTGGTCAGTGAGAGAGAGAGAGAGAGAGAGAGAAAGGGTGAGAGAGGGAGGGAAAGAGAGGGGAGAAAGAGAGAGAGTATTGTTGCAGTGCCACGTCTAACAGGCCACAGAGGGTCACTGCTGTTTACTGGACTTCTTTCTGCACATCATAGCTTCTGTCCCAGACTGGTGTTGTTACATTTCAGGCAACACTTATTCATTAAAGACTTGCTTTAACGTCTGCTTTCATTCCCAAGTTTGGTGGCATGTTTCCCCTTTGTGTATGATCTGCTTTACTGTCCCATCACACCTTGAAAACCAAAAGGCCTGTGCAGTTTGTCATTTTACTTTGGGAGTCTGTCTTAGAGAAACTAGGAAACATCCAGCGATATTTCCAAAAAGCTGAAAAAGAGGCGGTTGCAGTTGGACCCCAAATACATTGGCTATAGTCCTCATCACTGTAGTTTCCAGTTTGACTCGTTCTCACAACCTTTTCGGTGCCCTACTCTCTGCTTCCCATGTTTCCTAAGGCTACAGGGTGGTTATTATCCACACATCATGTAGGTGCAGGGAAACATCAACAAGAGAAGGAAGATAAGCAGCTCAGTGCAACCAGAAGTTTGTCAAATAACAGGGATTTGATAGGACACTAAGCTCACAAATGAGACAAGATTTTAACCCTACTTATAAGAAAACTTCAATGATTAAACAAATACATGAGGAAAAAGTCTTGAAACAAAAGTTAAAAAGTCCAAATAATGCATAATCCATTTGGGAATGTTTTAACTCAAAACAGACGTTAATAAAGTGCATCACACACACAAGCAGTACTCTAATATTATGATAGAATTATGAATTATCAGATCTTCACATATGGAAATCACCGTCCACCGAAGTTTGAACCCTGTTATTGTGAGCGCTCACCTCTTTCTCTCTCTTTTTTGGGACTCAACTATTTTTAAAAGGGTTATTCCAAAGTGTTGAATAGTCAGATAATCATTTTATTCAGTGGTAGTCCTGACATGAAGTTTGTCCTATTCCAAATGATGTAAGTCAACTTTGTACCGTTACTATTTGGCTGTAGTGATCAAAAAGTGTTGGGTATTTTAGTCTTAACCTAACCAAGGATAACCTAAAGTTGGCTATTTCTGTTGACACTTAAGTTGCAAAGAGGGTCTGCAGCCATGAAGAGACTGTCGGTGTGAGAGGATTTGCATATTAAGTTGCAAAAACAGACTTTTTATGTTGAAGTTTTTAAGTACCGAGTAACCAAATCCATAAAAAATTAAGCGGAATAAAAAGTTTTCCAGCAAAATTATAGACTCCTTGTAAAATTTCTCCACAGAAAAAGCTGAATTTCAGTTTTTCACACTTGAGGATGTAAATTTAAATCACCCTAAACTCTTTGCCCTCCTTTCCACGCTGTCACTCCCTCATCTCAGCCTCCTGCAACATTTTCTCACGAGCGAGCTTTTCAGAGGTGTTTCAGCGGAGAGAAAAGCCCTCCCTGAAATGACAGCATGACAGGAGCTCCTCAGGGTGCAGCCATGGGTGACGGGGGTGAGTCAGACGTATGGGGTTTCCCTCAGTGAGTTCCAGGGGTGGAACCTGGAACCAGTTTGGAAGAAGCCCTGCATTTGTGTGCAGGCTGCTGCGACCATTAGGACTTATTCTAGCGCGGGACAATGGGATTACTGTGTGTGTGTGGAAGCCATGCGTGCGGGCCTGTGTACGTGTTGATGAGCTGAGACCTCAGTGTGTGTGTTTTGTGTTTTTGTGCGGATGAGCACACTCAGACATGAGCCAAGCCACCAGCCGGCCACATGAAGGCGCGTCTGTGGGAGGTGGAATTTTAATGTGGAAATGGGAACAATGATTTCTACTTTTAAATGTGGACGAGAAGCAGAGCATCCAACAGCAGACCAAAAAATGATGGATCAATTATTAATGCATTCACCATCACACTGTGAGCTTGTGAATGTGTGTGAGTGTGTGTGTGCTTGCATGCGAGCTGGTACATGTCGGCCTCTCTGTGTGCTGTCATGTGTCCTCTGTGAGTTTGTGTTTGTCTGCTTATTCACGCGTTTGTTTCCACCCAACTTGGCATTAGCAAGATTGTTATGGCTTATTTTCCTCAGATGCAGCGTGCTGCAGATTTTCAGCAGGAAAGATACAGTTTCTTTGTGTGTGTGTCTGAAAGATAAATAGAAAGAGTAAGGGAGATGAAATTAAGTGTTTTCTGTGAGCTCAGTGATTTTCCATTCTTTTAAAGACTCCTAATTATTTCTTTCAATAACTTTTGTTTTAAAAAAAAGCAGAATAGAACCACTTATTGAAATGTGCTTATGGGACATTGATATTATTCAGTATTTGGGTGTTATTCTCCAGATATATCTTGTGCTTTGTTGGTCTATTTGATGTCAAAAACTGTTAGAAAATGTTAGTGTTTTCAAAATTCTGGTCAGTATTACTTAAAAGTAATATTTTCCCCTACAACCCAAATATGCAATAAAAAGCTGCTAATAGGGAACTTGAACAGCTTTCCCATCAAAAGTCTCCAGCTGATGCAAATATTATCCAAACTGCTGCAGATGATTTTGAAAGCTTAAATAAACTGAATAATTGTTGCATCTGCAACTGCAAAATGTGTTATGCAAAGAATTAAAAACACTTACTTTGTATATCTATTAATAGATTTAATATTACATTTCATAAATAGATAAACCTATTTCATCATGACAGTGCTCATAGTTCTCATAGTAAAGGTGCTCTGCAAGAAAAAGTACCTGTTATCATGAATGAAATATTTGATCTAAATCTTGTGATAAAACTACTTTTTCATATCTTTTAAGACCTCTGTATATTCAAGTGTTTCGGGGATTACTATGTCGATTTATCTGTGTCTTGTTTGGTCTATTAGGTGTCAGAAATGTTGGAAAATATCAGTGAGTGGTTTTCAAAATTGCAAAATATAATTTTTAAATATTTAAAAGCTACAACTAGAAAAAAAATTCTTTTAAATACTAGTAATTGATGCGGATATCAGAACAGATAAAAATTAAAGCTAAAATTATTGAATAATTATCGCATCACTGGAGGGTTTACCAAGAATTTATTTCCCAAAATATATCAAAAACATTTGTTGTCATGTTTTTTGTTGAAGTGTGGATTACACTTCGAAGTGATCACATGAAGACCTCGATAAAATAGGGCAGAGCAAATACTCTTCTAGAAGAAGTTCATAGATAAATAAAAACTAACCCAGGCTAAAAAGCAAAATAAAACACCAAATAAAACCTGGGCAAACAAAACATTGCTTTTTTAAGTATCGCACCCACTGCGTAAATACTGCACAACAGAGAATAGAGAATTCTATAATGTACACTTATTGCACAGGTTAAGGTGTTCAAATATTTATATTGTAAGCTGCTATGGCTCTTGCATAATTAAGGTTGTTCTTTTATATATCTGATGTTATTTGGCATATTTAGACGACAGAGAAAGCTTTTATTTTGAAAAAGGTTATTTCTAATGTGGCCTGGATGAACTGTATTTCACCACTGCTGCTGTTATAATAAAACTCTCAACTTTGGTTTGGGTTTTAAATGGTGTCACGGTGGTCTGAGGTTCCTCTGGGGTTCTCTCTGCCCTGGGGGGGTCCAGTCTGTTCATAGCATATTAAATGATACCCTCCCTCCTACTCCCCCACCTCATCCCTCCCCTGTATATGACTAGATAATCAAGAACATTTCTCAGGACTGACTGGAATCAGAGATATAACTCAGATATAAACATTGAGGAGAACAGAAAGAGAACGGGGGAATGAAAGAGGGATGGAGGAGGGGGGTGGAAGAGCAGGAGAGAGGGAGATGAAGGGGGAGGCAGTGATGAAGGAGGGGACAGAGGGAGGGAGACTCCTCAGGACCCGTCTGGATCTCATTTAGAGGACAGTAATGCGATTAGCTTTGTTTAGTTTTCACAGCTCCAGCCAGTCCCCATGAAAAACCTCTCGGAGATGAAATGTACATTTTATTTTGTGTGAGTGTATTGTGTTTGAAATTTTTGGTCCTTTTATTAATCCAAAGGAACTGAAAGCCAAAAGCAGGAGAAATTTACATTTAAAAACTCAGCCTGGTCTTTAACCAAGAGTTTCTTGATTATTTATCCTTCTCTTAAACTGAAAGAATATTTCCCTATAGTTATTTTCTGACTTTAATATAAAGGATAAAAACACCTGAGCAGCATAATGAAGGCTGCTCTGGTGATTGTGTCTCACAGACCAAAATAACACCCATCGAAAAACACGAAGATTACAACGATATCAGGCCGGTTCAAATAAAGCAAAAGGAAAAACTCTCTGCGTAATAATCCTACATACTCTGAACCTTCAATGATCTCTTCTCTCTCTTATGTTTGTTTTCATCTTTTGCCTCTGATTGCAAATCCACTTTCCCTTCCAGGAATAATAGATGAATTCAATGACATGTCGGAAACACATAAAATAAGACTCAGAGAGCTTGTCTCTGTCTGCAGTTTCAAAAGATTTTTGGCAGTAGCTGTTCTAACGTACCCTCCAAATATATAAACCATCTACTTATTAACAAACCTGTTGAAATACAATTTAACCCAATAAAACAGCTGCATCTGCCAATGAATGCTTAGTTCCTGGTGTAGCTTGTGCCAATGCCCCAGAGAAAATAAAATGTCGAATTTTCGAGAAAATACCCTTAGACTCGCTCGATATAAAGATGTACTTCAAAGTGACTCAGACTAACTCTACTGGAAAAACTTGATGCTTTTAAGTGCTTACTGTACCATATAATGGATACCAAACAATGTGACGAATACAATATGATACAAGAACTGTTAATGCGACAGTTGAAATGTTGTGTTTCCCTCAAGGAAAGTTTGCTTTTACTAAATTGCTGCACACATTTAGCAGCTTCATTAGCATAAATAAAAACTATGACAACCAACAAAAATCAACCTGCTAACACGAAAGCAAGTCAGTGAGAGCCATAAATAACAAACAATAAGAATGGTTCAGATATTTCTAATATTATTTGGCTCATTGGAACTGAGGTTGTATTGAGCTATATGGCTTATTTTGCAGAGATATAGTAGCCCACAAAGGGTAGAGAGAGACAGAGGGGACAACTATGAAAGAGGAGTTTTTTAACATTAGTTTGTAGGAGATGTATTATGTCCAGAACAGACAAACACAGATCAAATAGGGAGGAATCACTGGGCATAATCAAACTACTATCACCTGGGCTGTTAACATGTTTCTCCTCTGTTATCTTATTGAGTCATATCTCATTTGTACCTGTGCTTTCTGCATCAAAATGTAAAACTGGATTTTCCTTTCTCTCTCCAGGTATCATCAAGGTAGGAAGGTGGAACCCTCTGCCCATCCACTTCCTGACTGACGCACCTGAAGCGACAGTTGCTGACATGTTGATGGGGGTCTACCACATGGTCACCCTACGCATACAGCTACAAAGGTCAGAGGTCACAGCTTGAACTCTGGATATTATCACTAGGATATTAAGTGCCTCATGTCAGAGAGAGCGAGCAAAAATGTTTACTCATCAATACTCCTCCCTTAAACTGACAAACATCATTAGAAAGAGTGCGTGTCCGTATTTTATGGCTGTTTGCGGTTGCACTGAGTCAGACGTTCGGTCCACAGGGCGGCTGATGTCACCAAAGATAATTGGAGTTGAAAAATTCTCCATATCTATCAAATTTAAAAGCAGCAGTATCGAAACGCTGGAGCTGGAGTTCAGCAGCCCAGTGGGGATTTATCTATTATCTGTCTCCGTCAGGGAGCGTCCGTCTGCCAGGAACTCCTAGTTCCCCGGAATAAGTGAAGCAGGATCCTGATGGACGGATAAAAACAGATAAACTCCAGATGAGAGGGTTATTATTGTTATTGTCTTGGCACGTACCAGCCAGGTTTGTTTACGTGTTTGTGTGTGTATCCATGGAAAAGGCAGAGCGCTGGCTCGCTCTGAGTTTCAGTGATTTATTTGAGGTTAAATGACATAAAAACAGAAAGATGAGGGAAGATAGGTCGATACAGGAAACAGTGGTTTGAGGAAAAAAAGATTAATTAGGGATGTTTCAAAGATCCATGAAGCTTAGACGTTCAGTTTAGGGTCCATGGAAAGCATTTTTAGAGACTGGAAATAAAACTAGAATATCCATTACCATTTTCATGTCTGCAGAGTAAATATGAAGTTATAGACAGCTGTATATACCTTAAGTGTGCAGGGGCTGGTTTTGCAAAAACACATAAAAAGTAATGAGTTGAGACGAAAAGATGAGGTTTTTCAGGAGATTATGGGACAATTTCTTATTCAGTAAAACTTTCCGAGAAGTCGCACTGTTAACTGGCGAACTATGTTGCTAAACTGATAGATGTGGGAAGAATGATGTGTGTAAATGTATTTATCTAACTTTTTTTACCCATCAAAACTTCTTATATATGTTTCTTTTACCTTTTAATCGTTAGTGCTGTCTTTCTGTCCTTTCAAGTCACAGGAATTGTTTGAACATTTACAGCTTCTTCGTTTAGTCTCCTAAAAATGAACGTTTTATGAATCGTTAGAACTATTTGCACTATAAAACCTAGCGGTATCTGGGCTTACAGTTTGATTACAGTACAGTACTTCCTAGTTTGTACAAATGAGACTGGCAACTTCTCTCAGCTTTTGCTCTAAAATCAAAATATGAGCTTCGTCGTGTTGTGGTTAGATTTTAAGATGTGGTTGACGTGGCTGTGTTGGTTTCATTTGTTGTAGCTTTTCAAAGTTGGAGGACCTGCCCTGCGAGCAGTGGAACCACGCGACAGTCAGAAACGCTCTCAAAGAGCTGCTGAAGGAAATGAACCAAAGCACTCTGGCCAAAGAGTGTCCTCTGTCACAGGTAACAAACACCTAAAGCCAACAAATTCACTTTAAACTTCCAACCAGGTCTTTATGTAATGAAGCAAACAGACATCTTATTCATGACTAAGTAGTTTACATGTGCAATGTAGCTGCCATACAACTTAAACTCATTTTGTGCGCAGTGTAGCTTACATACAGCTAACTTAAATGTGCTAAGCAAGTAACTTAGCTACATGGCTAATATGTAACTAACCTTAGTGCGCTAAGCAGCTAACATTTGACTCACTTGTTTGCAGAGGTGGCTAAAATATGTGCGCTATGTGGCTATCTAGTTTATGAGTGTAATGAGGCTACCATAGAACTAGCTTAGGAGTGCAATGCAGCTAGCTTACAGCCAGCAACACAGCTGATCAAGCTGCTGAGTTTGTTGATTTGGGAGGTAGAAATAGCTGTCCGAAATGTGAGCTTTACGTTGGAATAAATCAGTCCTTAATACGTCTACCCTCTAAGATCCTTATGTCACTCACTAGGCTGTCATATGTTATGGATAATGAGGCCCTTATGAGACACATTTAGGCAATAAGAAATCCAGGATTAATCCTACATGTATTGTATTGATTATTGTAACATTTTAATCAAACTCCACCCCACAAAATTAAGAACTGTCTCCTCAATCATGTTAAACTCCCCAGCTGCATGTTTCCCCCTCTCTCCTGTCTTATAATAACTGCTGTGTGAGATTTATGTGTGTATGTGCGTGCGTGTGTGTGTTTAAATGGAGCTCTGGAGGGGGGTGTTGATCGCGGCATCAATTGCAAGCATATGTGTGTGTGGCTGGAGATTCCCTCTCTGTGCTGCACTGGCTCGAGTTTCCATGGGTGGCTTCCAATCATGATTAATGTTTGTCTGTTCCTATTGTGAGTGTGTATGTGTGCGTGTGTTTACGTGAGCGTGCCATGTGGTTGTTGCGTGAGTGTAAGCATTTCATATCATGTAGGTTATTAATTATCTCTCCCCTGTCTCCCCCCACTCTCTCCCTCAGAGTATGATTTCCTCCATTGTGAATAGTTCCTACTATGCCAACGTCTCCACTGCCAAATGTCAGGAGTTTGGGCGCTGGTACAAGAAATATAAGAAAATTAAAGGTGAGCTGATCTGTGGAATATGGTCCAACTTTAACATCACTTGAGTTTTTTATGCTCTTTAACGTTGACTAAACTACCATTCACAGCAACAATTTAAAGAGGGAAAATACTCTTATTGATTAAACTCATGCTTTTAATTGAATTTTCTTCCAAGGTTAACTGTAGATTTGCTAAAGTCAGAAGAGCACTCATGGGTAGATAGTATTTGTACCAAGCCAATGACATCCAGTTTGACATCCAATCACAAAAACAAATGGAGTAATCAGAATCAACAGATTAAATGCTATCGAAGTTAACGCCGAGTAAATGGAGTTAAATTTTGGATTAGCAGTGCCCACCCCTGCATGATCGATTTTTATATGTTTGCTTTAAGAGCATGAGGACCTCCCCCTCTGACTGACTTCCTGTCTTTGTTTTGTTGAGCAGTAGATTACCTGGAGAAGATGTGGACCGGACGAGAAACTTCTGAAATCAAAAGTGAGAATCTGAATTTAAGTCAGAGTCCTGGATCGTGTGAAGTTGTTTTGCCTGACCCCCCTGACTGTCTCGTCTTCTTTCTAGTTGAGAGGGACAACATGGCCGACTTCTGTGTCCTGGGTCAGAGACCCCCTCCTCACTTGGCCAGCCTGGTCCAGCTCGGTCACCTTGGGGCTGGCAGCCCTCTCCTAAAGGCGGGCTCAGGAGACCCTCAGACAGGCTCTCAGCCCCAGCAGCCCCCTCCTCCCCAGCAGCAACCCTCACCTCACGGTCCTCTCCACCACAGCCCTCCTCTCCGCACGGGTCAGGTGCCTCCTCCACCGCCGCCACCCCTGCCTGGTGCCCTGCAGCCCCTGCTGGGTCCAGGGGGGATCCTGTCCCCACAGCTTACCCCGCAAATGGTTCGCCAGCAGCTCGCCATGGCCCACCTCATCAACCAGCAGCTAGCTGTTGGCCGTCTGTTGGCCCATCAGCACCCACAAGCCCTCAACCAGCAGTTCCTCAACCACCCGCCCATCCCACGAGGGTCGTCTAAAGTCGGCGACCATCCAGGGAGCAACCCATCAGCGGCCGAAGTTTCATCTGAAATCTACCAGCAGGTCAGAGATGAGCTGAAGAGAGCGAGTGTCTCCCAGGCCGTGTTCGCCCGCGTGGCTTTTAACCGCACACAGGTAGGAAGACGGGAACACAGGGGGAGGGAGCAGGGGAGGAAGTGGAGATAAAGTCAGATCAGAGAAAGTTTTGGTGACGAGAGAAAGTTTCGTAGAGTTTGGGAGTGGCGAATAGTGCACTCCTGAAAATTGTCTGGGCGGGCTGCAGCTGAATCTGTTCACTCAAACATTATCTGGACTTTTCAGCCCTCTGGTAAAAGTCAGTGTGAAATCAGGTAATAGTCAGGAACATTTACACTGAGCAAGTGGGTGGGGCTTTGACCTCTGGAGCGAAGTAACTTTAGACTGCTCGCGTCAACTGTCTGTATGACATTTCTGCACTTGTTTTTATTACAATTCAGTTTTATAAACACACAAATATTTGTGGGCGTAAAGTGATGCTTTTGTCTTCTTGTGTGAAACAAACAACACAGTGAAAGAAGATCTCTTTATTTATTGATTATTGATATTTTGGGTTGTATAAACACTACAATACAAGATAATTAGTTCAGTTTTGCAGTAAACTCTTTTTTTTTGCTGGTCATCTAAGTGACTTCTAAAACCAAAAATGTATTTATCCTTTTAGCCGTGTTGCCTTGATTCAACTATTTACAGCGCCAAGTCATTTTTCATTTGCATACCTAAACTTTTGAAACAGTTCCTCTAACTCTGATCCTATTCAGTGAACCATATTTTTGAGACTATAGTGCCGGTGGCTGTCTTTTTCCCCGAGAAAATAACAGCTGAGAGGAGATAATCGCTGTGTGAGGTGTGATAAGAATAAATCGAACTTGACGTCACTGATAGATGGTAATTTTTCACACAGGGTTTGGCTAATTCTGCGGTCACCCACCTTGGGGTATTTTCAGGCGGATTAGCAGGAGCAGGTTTCTCGCTGGGTCATTGAGCCTCCTCCGCCCTCACAGCGGCACAAACACCTGATGCATTCAGGCTGTGCTAAACTGGTTACTACACGCCCCATTAGACCAATGTAATGGGAGGTGGATCATAGACCTGCTGCTGTACAGGCCAGGTGTCATTCACCACATATGTGTGTGTATATGTATTAGTGTGAGCCTCCAACACATATACTAATACTTTTTGTTGCACTGTTATTTACTTAATTTGTATTTCATAAATAAAGGATTTCATCTGTAATTTGAAGCCCTGAACATAACAAAGTAGATTTACTGTTGAACTAAAATCTAAGAGTTTTAATTTCACTTAAATACTTTTATGCTGAAAGACACACGTGTCTCCTTGTGTCTCTTTATCATCCAGGGTTTGTTGTCCGAGATCCTGAGGAAAGAGGAGGACCCTCGCACGGCCTCTCAGTCTCTGCTGGTCAACCTGAAGGCCATGCAGAACTTTCTGAACCTGCCCGAGAGCGAGAGAGACCGAATCTACCAGGAGGAGAGAGAGCGCACCATGAACCCGAGCGTCGGCCTTCCTGCATCTAACTCGTCCAGCCCCGGAGCTCAACGCCTCTCACAGGTTAGTCTGCGGGGTTTGTTTTCACATTCTGTACCAAAGTAGAAAATACTTGATAAAAAAAAAGAAACAGTTTCTTCTTAAGTCGAGTAAAAGTAGAAAGAGTATAGGGTCATAAATTTCCCAATAGTGCACCACAAAAACTCAAACTGACTTGGTTAAGGCCACATTCATAAGACAAAATGTTCGCCTGGAGTAGTGAAGTCAGCGCATTTGATATTAAGTTCGGGAGATATTTTGTAACTGATAATCAGACAAAAAAAAAAAAAAAGAAGAAAAAACACTTGCTCAATTTTGAATTTGTGCAGTATGTGCACAGAGACGAGTCAACCGTAAAACCATTCATTCCTATCTATGTGAATCCCTGCAAAAAATCACTGACACCACTTACATAAATCATACATGAAATTTTCTAAAGGGGAAGCCAAAGGAAACTTCTATTTTATATGTTAGTGTCCCATACATTTATACTGAGATCAGGTTAGATGTAAGGGAGGTAGTGGACATGGTACAAAACAGATATTCGCATTAAATGCTCTGAAGTTAAAGTTAAGCAACTGCAAGAAAAGGAAGCGCAGATATTTTTATTATTGGATGAAAGGGGTAAAAGGTTCAAAGCTGCACATTCTTGCACAACTGTACAGATCTCCTATTCAACTTCCTGTGCATACTTTGCATTATATTGTTTATTCTGTCTCAGTTCCTTGACAGATGTTTACTGGCTATCCAATTTTGTCCTCCACTTCTGTGTTTGTTGCTTTTGCACCAAAACACCAAGACAAATTCCTTGCATGTGTGAAGTACCAAACCTGGATCTGATTCTGAAAAATGTAAGCTCGGCAGAAAATGCAGATCAGAGGTGCACAGGTATTTGCTGCACCTCGAAAAGTTGGGTTAAATATATGTTTTTCTCAAGTGCAAGGGTCGGGAGCAAACATGAGCAAACAAAAGATAAACAAACAAAAAAATAGCTGAAATCTTGGATGCAACAGGATTTTTGCAGCTAAGACTCTGTCTGTTTGCCTTTCCTTGTCTGTTTTCACTCACCTGGAAACACCTGATCCTCAAAAACGAATTTTCTCTGACTTTTTCTTGAAACTAGAGACAGCTATAACACGTTTCACAAAGTTTTCAGAGTGGCTGATTTTAAAAGAGCTGCAGTACCACAGCAGGAAGAAAGCACTTCTATTTTTGTGATGCATTATTTTGATTATAACATGCTGTGTGTGTTGTGTGTGTGTGTGCATAGAAAGTGTGGGAGAGGAGCTTAGATGAGCAGATAACCCCTGATACCTGGGCCTCCATCTGGAAGAACAAGACTAAGATCTCCAACTCGGTGAGTTATCTGGGATCTCCAGCCTGCCCTCACAGAGTTTAGCTGCAGCACGTCATGTTTTCTGTCTTTTTAATCTTAAAGAAATCCTGTTTATAATGGGAAACAGCCTCAAAGCCATCAGAGCAGCATATTGTAAACATAAAGGACATTATACTGTATTTGTTTCCATCTGCAGAGAACAATTTAGCCACATCAGTGATAAGGACTTCTCTGTGATGTCAGGGCAAACGGCCATTCAGGGAGAATCTGAGAGCTATTCTTATTATGTCTATGTGAAATTATCTCAGCATCGTTTACACTGAGGGAATGTAAGCTAGCTGGTCCATACTCGTCTCGTGGACGACTTCAAACAGTGTGTATACAAGCTCTCAGAGAGCCAATACAAGTCCGCTCAAACAGAAACAACAAAGAAAGACAAAAGAGGAGGACTTAATGACTTTGATCTGTAAACAAAAGTCATGTGGAGACGTGCGCTGCAGATGTGAACGCTGCACGACTCGGTCTGATCATCAGCTGATAACCTCAGTTCCACATGTAAACACAAGTAGATGCTTTTCAGGATAAATCTTTTTTTTTTTCAGGAACAAATCTGAGGCACTTAGTGAAAGATTTGGTGCCTGTATGACATTTCCCGTCGTACAAACTTATCTGATAGCTCCTCCTCCAACATTCAAACCGACTTTATTTTGTACTCACTGTGTGTGACATCATGCTCTGTTTTCTTTTTTTTTCTCCTCAGCCAAAGCCGAGCGGGCCGACCTCTGACCTCCCCCTGAAGCTGGACTTGCTGGCCAACATCACATCGGGAATCTACGACGAGATCCAACAGGAGATGAAGAGAGCCAAAGTGTCGCAGGCGCTGTTCGCAAAGGTGGCCGCTAACAAGAGCCAGGTGAGGGACAATGACACTGCAGAATACAAGTAGAAAAAAAAAGGATTACTTGAAATTGATTTGGCCTAATCAAGATGATTGAATGATAGAAATATGCAGAATAAAACTGGATTGAAAAGCTTATAAAAGCTTTCAAACTCAGGGCATCACAGTCTTGAGACTGAGAGCTGCCTACCTCCATGACTATTCAACTCTGTGAGACTTAAATATTAAACATTTATAAGCTCTGACTTTCTTTTAAGAACTATTTTGATAGTAATGCACACTTCTAGTATTTGAAAAAAGTTGCATAGAGGGAAACCGTCAAATACAAGCGGCAGGGAGGATGTTGGGAAATATTCTGGATCATGCTCAATCAGGTATTTTTTGGAAGTTTCCAGGAACTTAGCGCATCTCTAAAAACTCCAACACTTTATGCAATGGAGATCTTCAAACCTGACAGTGAACAGGTTTCCAAGACAGTGACATTGACTGAGCTGCAAAGGTAGACACCAACAAGAGCAGAGAGAAGGAAACCCAATGAGAGAGGAAACATCCAGAATTGACCACCAGATTCTTCATGATGTTGCACGATCCTGTTTAGTATGTTTTATTACTCAGCCCTGGAAACAACTGACGAAACTTGGCCTTAACTAACTGTGCTAATAAAACCGTCTCTCCTCTGCTGCTTATTGCTTTAAGAAAAGTAAATAAACATCTAAAGTTTCCTCGACATCTAAAGTGATCCCGCTCTCACTCTTGAATCTTTAAACAGAGGACGTACATGCTTACATTGATCGTTTGGACAAAGGAAAAAGAGGCAAAGGGAGAATAAATATGAGTTAACAGGCTGGTTTGGCTTGAGTTGTGTGCCTCTGTGTGTCATTTTCCGCTCTTTCTCCTGTTTTCTCCAAATAAAGGCATAAAATACAAATTCAAACATAAATAAATCACATTAACTCAAACTTATTAGAGGACCCTCCATTTATGAATAAAACTAAATTCAACATTGCTGTGTTCGACCCTGAGATAAGTGTATACAGTATATCTGTGCTTGTACATGCATGCGTTTGTGTGTGTATGTGTTTGTGTGGTTGGCGAGGTCCCCCAGGTCGGTGGGTCTGGGGGTGGCGGAGGGTCACGGCTCAGTGCACCCATCTGCTGCAGCTGGCCACAAGGACGGCGAGCGAGCAGAGAGAGGGAGATGATCAGGCTATTAGCGGCGCTGCTGCCCGAGGTGGCGGCTGGTTGAACACAACAGCTGGTGTCACAAACCGAACCAGTCTAGCAGATATAATTCAATCTTCTCCAGCTCTCCTTCCCCCGTCTTCCTGTCCTACATTTACCTCACACACTCCAAACACTTCCTGCTCTTTCAACTTTTTATCTACACATCATTTTGGGATAATTATAAACTTATTTCATCCTTAAATTTCCTTTTTTCCTCCCATATTTTCCGAATCATCAAAACTAAATTAAAATATTAAAAATAAAAACACTTTCACGGCACCCTGAATCCCTGTGTAAATCCCTCAGACTGGACAAAACATGGATGTAGTCTGAGTGACATCACCCTCTGGTTTCTGAAGCCAAACAATGAGAGTCACCACGTTGGAAATGCTGACTCAACCTAATTTTCAGTCAACCTAACCAGAGGAAAGAAGTGAAGTTGAGGTCAGCCTTAGTCTCCTGCTAGTCAAGTCAGCCCCAAATTATGCAATACTCTTAAAACTTAAAATCAAATAAGTTGTTTAAAAAAAGTTCATCCCTGTTTTGTACCAGGCTGTAAATATGTCAATTGTAGTTCCTCACAATTGTAGTTCCTTCCTTTTTGACTTCATTTCTAAAGACTGGAGGATGCTGCTTATCCTGCCTCTGAAAGACCACTGTCAAGCATTTCACTAGTTATATTAAAGAGGATAAAAAATGGAGGTGGATTTAAAGAAGATCGTTGGGTTGATAAATCTGTGTCAAAAAGTAAAATGCAACTTGGTTGTCAAAATACAACTAATTTCTTCTAAAACTACAGCTTTCCTCTGATAATATTACTTTAGCTCATTGTGTTAAGGCTTTATTCCAGTAAATGTTGGAATAATCAAACTTAAGTCTTGAAATCTCAGAGTTTTTTTCCTTAAAGATCTTTTATACCTTCGTAAAAGCCAATTGTAGTCAATAAGACACCACACTTCTGACTAAGGAGTGATGAAAATAATCTTGAATTTAAATCCTAAATCAGTTTAAGGCACTTAAAATAACCACCATAGTTAGAAGTCAGATTCTCCTTGTTTGTAGACTGTATGGCTTCAGCTCTATACACACTTCACCAACAACTCAAACTTCTCAGCAAGAACTTCAAGAAGCACATTTCCCAAATTAGGGAAATTTTCTCCCATTTTCTCAAACACCTTTATCTCTAAGCCCACCTATTGTTCCCGTGTCCTCTCCAGGGCTGGCTGTGCGAGCTGCTCCGGTGGAAAGAGAACCCCAGCCCGGAGAACCGCACTCTGTGGGAGAACCTGTGCACCATCCGGAGGTTCCTGACGCTGCCGCAGCCCGACAGAGACATGGCGTACGAGGAGGAGTCCCGACACCATCACGCGGAGAGGCTGCACACCGTCCTTCACCTGCCACAGGACACACAGGTAAGACCCAGACGTTAAAAAGTGTTTACAGCTGCAGCTAACATGCAGCTCATATCTGCACGTCCAGATGGAGCATTATATTTACACCTGGCATTAAAAGCATCTCCGGAGTGTGCATTAGAAACAGATTTCCTGCACACGCCACCTCACCTCACAATATTTACATCTGCGGAAATGAATTGTAAACACCTTTTCCTGATTCACCAGCGTGCAGAAATATCCTGAAAATGTACTTTCAGCGAGATGATTTGATTTGAGCTCACATACAAAAGTTTATTTTCCACTGACATACTGGAGGTGTATCTGCTGGAGGAAAATGTGTTTTGTTTATATTTTGTTATGATCTTGTTTTTGTCAAACGTGTCCAGATCATTTCCAGTGATGCTGCACGGTCAAATCTGGTACATATCTTAGAGAAGCGGTTCGACACTTGAAGGAGAAATTTGTGCAAAAGCAAAGGTGAAATACCTCAAATATTGAACAGAAGGTTGGGTGCTGGACCATCTCTAAGCAATGATTTCTGAGAGACTTTTCAGGTTCAAGACATCTGGTTTAATTTAAGAATTGGTCAGACACGTTGGTCCAAATATCTCTCTTTTATTTCATCTCACAAAGATATGCTGCAGAAAGAGGAGTAATACGCTCCCTCCGTTCAATGAGTCGCCTTAACTTTTATTAGTTTAAATCCATAAACTCCCTTGAATTCGGGACAGATGTCAACCAGAGATGAGCTTTAATTATTTAAGAACAAACTTTTGCTGACTGGAAATTGGACTCTTGTTGTTGTCTTGGTCTTTATTTCCATTTTTAAGGCCAGCTCAAGCAGCTCAAGTCCTACATGTCCCTCTTGTCACTCACTAGGGCCCAAATTTCCCCAGACTTTTACCTTATCAACTAATGGGAAACATACCCTCCAGCTGATTTTTCACCCTCCTCCCACCACTTGGTAGTCAGTTAACCACTTTTCTTAGACAAAAGTTGAAGTTCAGCTCATTAATTTTCCTGTCATTCTCTTAAAAATCATCAACAAGTGTCCGCCTGCTGCTTTGGTGTGCAAACTTGGCATTCAGTTTCTCCGTACCACAATGGTGAACAATAAATGTGATGCATTTGAGTGACACTAAAAAATGTCAGGGGCTAAGTTGCACAGACAATTTGACAAACAAGAAATCACTTTTGACTAAGACAGTCTACTAGAAGTTTTACGGTACTCCTGATTCAAGGCACTTCGACTCAAGATTAGAAACAAACCTGCATTCAATATGTTGCTTACTGAAATGTGCAAAAGTGTTGGCATCAAAACATGAAGCATTGAAAGAAAAAAACTCTCTACTTTGAGTGAGTTTGAGTTACTTATGCATTTACAGTTCCTTTAATTTAATGTTGCAGCATCATTTATTCAGACATGGTGTTAAAATATCTGAATTTAAAGCTAAAACTGCAAAGATATCAGCACAATATATGGCTTTGTAGTAAAGTAATGCTGAAAAGAGAAAGAAACTTTAAGTTTCACATGGCCAGATGCAAACATCTTCTAAATGTTTACGGTTTTGTTTTTGTTTTCCTCAATAAGTGAGATTTCTTTTTCTTATAATGTGAAAGACAATATTAAGATCATTTCTCAGTAAAAAAGGAGAACACAGATCGCATCAAAACAACCTAAAGTCACCTCAAGACTTATTTAGTGGCTTTTAGAAGAGAAGTAGTGTGAACATTTGTTGTAAAACCATGCAGCATAAAATGTAGGACACATGGCCTGAGAACTTTAAAGGTCTTGACGGAAACTTTTCTTATAAGCAGCATCTGCATTTGTTTAAAATCTGCAAAAAAACAAGATCTGCAGAGGTGTCATTTCCAAAACACAAACTTTATTACTCCGAGAAAAAAGGATGAAACTGTGTTTCTTCAAACCGCACCCATCGTTACACAATCATTATTAATTCTTTATTAAAAACGGAGTTGTGTGAGTGGTTCTGCTCTGTTTGATCTGGTTGTGTATGTGCATGTGTTTGTGTGTGCGCATGTGTTTGTGTGTCTGCGTGCCCCAGCGGAGTGAAGAGTAAACAGTGTAGCTGGGTGGTGTGGCACTGGAGGAAATGCCCCATTAGTTTAAGAAGAGGAGGAGAGAGGGGGGTTAGAGAGGCTGCAGGGGGGCTGAGGGGATCGATGCAGGACACACACACACACAACTGTAACCCTCCTGCGCTCAAACACACACAAACACACACTAACCCTGTTTATCTGCCTCTCTGTTCATTTATTACTCCTCAGCTGTGTAGATTATCTTATCAGTTATTGATTTAAAGTAGCAGACGGCACAGAAACTTCACAAAAACAACTCTTTTCTCACACCTTGCACTGACTTTTATTGATTTATTGAACCTTATCGCCACCGCACAGGGCAGTGAGGTAGGTTAGGTATCATGTTCACGGAATATTAGGATCGAAAAAACAAAAATAGAAACACAAACTTAATGTTTAACTTCAGCTCACTTCGGAGAGAAAGAAATACTAAAACGTGTTTTTCATGCAAGAGAATAAACTTGTTTCCCAACATTTTGGAGCATTCCTTAAAATCCAGTGGGCTCAGTTCAGAACAATAACCACATTGGGTGTAAATTGTGTTATTTGTTTTGAAACCGTTTAATCTGCAAGAAAATTTAACTAACTTGCAGAAACCCCACAAAAACAAACAAAACGCAAAATGTGTTTAGGTCTTTTAATTTAACATAACGAAACTTAAAAAGCTGGTAAGAAATCAGCCGTTAGATCACCATGTAGATCGACAGAAAATAAAGTTTGACAACGGAAAACAAAAAAGTTTCCTTAGCTGTCTAAATATAGTTTTACTGAACAAGTTTAATTTATTCTTTCCTAATCAGGTAGTTCCTTTATTTTTTTAATCCTTACTTTGAACAATTTGGTAAAGAAAAGATAAAAAGGGGTCCAAAGGGATGCCTTGAATATAAGTTGGAAAAGTAGACATAGTCATTTCAAAATTAGTAAGTAATTTCAATTACTTTCAACTAATTTCAATAATTTCAAAGAGTTATGGCTAAGTGTGCCACATCATATATTTCTGTTGAGTCTCCGTTTTAAAGTAAACAGTAAGTCACAGTCTCAGTTTTACAGTAAAAATAAATAAAGTAATCAGTTTCATAGTAAAAGAAAGTTAAAGTCTCAGTTTCACATTATGTACTAAATCAAACTGAGTCTCTTTTACATGATAAGTAAGTCAGTCTCAGTTTCAAAGTTAACAGTAAGTCATAGTCTCAGATTCACTTTAAAGGAGGTTGCAGTTTTATTTGTACAGTCAACAGTTAATTGATTGACATCTCAGTTTTACAGTAGACAGTTTATCAAAATCCTAGTTTTACACTAAAAACAGGTCAGACTTAGTAGGGCATTCAGAGTCCAGGTTGCACTGTTAAGAAATGGTCAAACACTCTCAAAGAGTTTGTCAAATAGAGTCTCGGTTTCACAGTAAGTCAAGCAGAGTTTCCACTTTCATGCCTGCTAACATACCCATTATCTCCTGGTTTCTTTTCTATTCTAAGCCCATCTCCTTTTCCTCTCTCATGTTGCTTCCCCTCTGAGGTTTTTACACCATTAAAACCATATCATTAAAAAAACATAAAGCCTCCATATAGGTTTGTCCAATAGGTCCAATAATCACCATTCACACAGTCAACCACCAACTTTTTACATCGTGTTTTAGCGATATTCAGTCTCCTCTGCTCATCCTGTCCTCTAAATACACAATGATCATACACCACATATAGTCTATATCATCCACCATAAATCAAAAACAGGCTGAATCCTCAAACTTCCTCTTTCAACACAACTCCTACGGTTGTTTTGTGGCCCCGCCCCCTTTTCATCTCCTCCCATTCAGAGCAGTGTATTAAAGGCTGATGGGAAGACTGGGCGGAAGCTGTGGTGGCACCATTAACACATTCCTCTGCTCCTCCAGTACTCCCAGCAAAGACTAAAAATAAAGTTCACCCTCAAAACGCCACACACACACACACACACTCACACATACACACACAGACACCCTAAGAGACACCAGAGAGGAGCTGTGGTGAAACACTGGTGATTTATTAATGGGAAACGAGGTGTGTGAGTTGCTGTCTTCAGACCCCCTCCTCCTCCTCCTCTTCCTCCTCCATCCCAGATGAAGCCACCACCAACCTCAGGCTCCAGCCAGCCTGCCACCACAGACCACACATGTGTCCCATCTGCCACACACACACACATACTTACACACACTCTCGCACTGATAGAGGGTAATGTGAGCACTCCTTTGTGTTGTGGACAATGAGAGGTTCTCTAAAACTGTAACAAGCGACCACAGGATACACATGAAAAATGAATGCGGTGCAAAGGCAAAAAACTCTACTGTAAATCCCGTAGACTGTGTAAATAATACATGCAGTCTTTGTGACGTCACCCATCGGTTTGCAGGCTGTGCGTTTTGCCACCAGAAGTGACCATATTTGGAGAAGAGGGTGGAGCTGGACAAATGCAAAAATATCAGAGCTTTATAGTCACAACCTGAGGCCTCTTCATTAACTGGCTAAAGAACCAGTTAACTGAGGTTCAGTCTCTTGTGGTATGTGATTCATATTCATCAGACAATGGTAGTTTCACTGACACTGATAGGAGTACCTCCATCAGTTGTTGATAATGTTTAAATCACACGTATTTCTAACTATCTATTCTGACATGTCTGCTTTGCCCTCACATCTGTTAATACAATCTCTATTTTAATCCAGACAGCAAAAAAAGTCAAGGGGAAAATGATCAAGCCTCAGCAGTGTTTTAGAAAGTATTATTACTTATCTAATAGTTGGTTAAAGCAGACTGTGAAGACAGAGAGGATGAATGCGATTGATTTATGTGCACACAGATCCCGCAGCCAACCCTCCTAATGCTAGAGCTCCAGTTGTGCCACCCACATCATAAAAAGTCTGGACATATCCCTGCAGATACTCAATGGGATGGAGGTGACTTACTAAAAATTGAATTGCAAAACTTGCAGTTAAGTAGATTTATTAGCAACATTTCCATTCTTGGCCTTAGCCTGGGATGGAAACAATGCAAATAAAGTCTGATTGGTCATGAAAACACACTATCATCATCACCCACGCAAACTTTAAGCTCATACAAGGGATTAAAAGCAGGAATTTACATGTATATTTCTGCTATGAAGTTTCAACCTGGGGCTCTATGGGGATTGACGAACTTCTAGTGCAAGCGCCAAGTGGACACTTTGGGTACTGCAGTTTTTGGCGCTTCTTTCGTTCATTTTTGAGCTCTGGAGGATGCAGTTCTGATACTCCTCACCCAAGTCATGCGTGTGTGTTTGGACCAGATTGCATGTACAGTAGCGTGAGCCATTTCTACATGTTTCTGAGCATTGGGACATCTCCAACTGTGTGTATTAAGACTGCAGGTGCTGTTTGTGTGTGTGTTTGTGCATGTCAGTAAACTCAGCAGCATCACATTTCTTCATGACTGACACGGTCCTGGTGCTCGCTCTGCAGCTCTTATTCATACGGCTTTAGCAGTTAAGTGCGTCCCACAGCTAATTTGGCAGAGTCTGCCCTTATAAATTATTTCTTTATTGTTTTTGCTAAATTGATTTCTGCTGCAAGACGAGGGGTGTTTATGTGTGTGTGTGCGAGAGAGACCGCTCACTGTGGCTGAGACCCCAGGAGTGGTGGACTAGAACAAGACGTAACAACCGCTGTGCCCTTCCTCCTCTCTCTGCAGCGACAAATCACTCAGTGGAAATCTCTCTGTTTCAGTAAATATGTATGAAATGTAGAATAAATAAGAGTGCTCAAAATTGATGCAGCACAGGCAGACGATTCTGACTTTACCCCGTTTTAGTCCCTTTTTTTGTGTGTGAACTCCATGCGACATAATCTGAGAAAGTATTTGTATAGTAGAATGTAGAAAAAAAATTGTGCCTAAAATAACTTCTATGTTGCAATTTTTTTCTAAACTAAACAAGATCTAATGGACTCCAAGAGACAGGGCCTTGCTCATGAGTCATGCTTGTACCCTTCACTTCTCATAATGCAGTCCAGTAGTCTTTCTTCATTAGACTCTGCCTGGTAAAAACCCTCCATGTATTTTGAACTCCCCTCCCTGATTTCGTAATCCCGTCTTCCTGTCCAAACCCACGCTCGAGAAAAAGAAAAACCCGGATGACTTCATCAGGTATTACTTTCTCAGAGTTTGGAAAATTCCCACCAAAACCATTACACCCGTCTTCTCACCAGTGGAGCATTACCTCCATTTATGAGTGAACTAATCATGATGAGCAGAATGAGCGGAGCGGCCCTTTAAGAGGTCACATGATCCTCTGTAAGTAATGAGTAAACACCTACAGTCTTTGCAACAAACCAAGAGATCCAAAAACTTAGCTCAGCAACATGACTAGTTTTTTTTTTACATGTACTGTATTTGCAGAAAAAAGCACAGGTGTGAATCCTGCTACTTCATTTTTATGCCCCTCATCCATATGATGGCATTTGTGGACAAGAAGCTCCCGAACTGCACAAGTTTGAGCTTCTGTTTTATCGCCAAAAATGTTATTTTATAACAGTTTTCTGCACAACAAAAAAACACTTGTCTGCTCACAACAAGAGCTTCTCTGGTGACCTGATTGTTCAATGATCATAACTGTCTATACTCGACAGGCCACCACTGGTCACAGTTCACATTTATATCTGATTAACAAAGAATATACTTCTGGCTGTACATAAACTTAAGGATGGACATTTCCTTGGAGTAGGGCTGGGCGATATGGCCGCAAATCAATATCACGATATATTAAGCAGTTTTCCTCGATAACGATAAATGGACGATAACTACTCCACAAGCTGCTCACCCCCATCCCCTCCTACATCTCCTCACCTGTCTTTCCCTCTTTGTTACGGACTGGATGGCGTTAAGTCATGTCTCTGACGTAGAAAAGCGTCTTAAAGGGACATGAGACCATAGCCTACCTACACACATCCAAAACCAACTTAAATTTATTTATGTTTTTGACACCGAATATACCGATATGGGCAAAATGATGTCTGTTATTGTCGTGAATGTCGGTATTGGTGAATTTTCAGTTTATCGCCCAGCCCTACATTGTATTGGAGTTAAATCATATCCAGACAGATTAGCGACGGCACTATCAGACTTATAAGTATATTTGATTGGTGAAGAAACTTCTAAAACTAAAACAAAAAAGACTGGCATAAAAAAAAAACACTGAGCTATATCAAGTCTGTAAATCCTGTAAGGCGATTGGCTTCAGAAAATGTGACTCTCAAGTACAGGACAAACTGAGTAAAGATGCAAGAGGTGGCACTTTGTCCACAGGAGCTTTAATGCTTTAGTAAAGTCATACATAATCAAAAAAGGACACTTTTGATCTATCAAGGAACTTTTTCTTTTTGATTTTGTACAGTGTTGTCGCTTCAAAACTTTGTTATACGCCTCCGATTGTCACTTTACGATAAAAAGAACTCCCTCTCCCCTCTCCCTCTCTCCCCTCTGTCTCTCTCTCTCTCTCTTCTCAGTGCATCTCGGTGGCCTCTCATTGTGGGAGGGTGGAGTTTTTGGCAAACCACAATTAACTTAATTGTTTAATTGCAGATAAATGGAATGAATACCACACACAGTCTGAACCAAAAAAATATGCAATGTCTCAAGAGCATGCACAGGAACAAATATACGACCACACAAACACACATGCACACACACACACACTCACTCACGCACACACACTCTGAGCTGCTCTCCCAGTCTGAATAACAGGACGAGTGTTCAGCTTTTCATCAAAGAATCATTATTTTGCAAATAAAAAAAGAAAATGTGAAGTGACTCATCCACTCCCTCAGCCTGAATCATGAATTACAAGCACTCACACTTATTCCAATACAACACACACTCACACACACACACAGACAGACACACATAGCTTGTAGACAGCAGGACAGACAGACAGATGGAGGGAGAATGAGAAAATAAGAAAACACACTCTGATTAACAGGAAAAGGTGAAGTCATGCACAAAACTAACAGAAAAGTGATTTTTCCTTCATTACATATTTATCTCTGTGTTAATGGTGTCTCTGGTGGTCACACACTGCACAAACACTCACACACACTCATACACACACACGCTCTTACACATGCACACAGCGTTAGGGGCCCAGGAGAACTAGAGCTCATTAAGGAGAGGATGAATATTTCATGTTGTATAATTCTTTCATAGTTCTGCGCCGTAATTTGCCTTGATTTACGTTTAAAAGAAACTTTTTCATTTGAGCTGATTTGAGCTGAGCGAGGAGGGGGAGAGGGAGAGAGAGAGAGAGAGAGAGAGAGAGAGAGAGAGAGAGACTGAGAGGAGAGGGAGGAAAGTTTTTCAGGAATATTGAATCATAGCATTAGGAGAGCTGGTCAGGCTGCAGGGCTCCAGTCTTTGTGGTTTTGGGAGAGCGGCGCTGCATTGTGCTCCTCTGAAATGATGTGAAGTTTCTTCCAAAGTGTGAAGGTTGGAGAGGAGGGAGGTGAAAAAAAAAAACCAAATATATTCTGAGGCTTTAAGACGTCAGTTACTGTGTTTGAGCTTGGATATGATGGAGTGAAAGTTAAAACATCATTTAGGTTATGGTGTTCCACATATGTAGGTGGAGGGGAAGGCAGCTCTACCGCAGGGTCTTTGCTTGTGCTCTCCCCTGCCTTTGCTTTTCATGTCTGTACATAAAACAAGAAGGAGGTTTCCCCGTACCTCAGGCTTTGGCATCCATGCATGGATGTGAAAAAGAAGCCAGCTCTACTTGGAGGGTCTTAACTGCCTAACTTTGCTTTTTTTTTTTTATGTATGCACATAAACAGGGAGGAGGTGTGCTCTCTGGCTGTTCATTCATTGAACTGTAAATTTTTATAAACCTATTCAAGTTGTAATTTTTCATTATACAATGTTGTGATTTTTATTATTTCACAGAGCCTGACTCCCATCTTAGATAACAGTTAAATAAAAAATAAAAATCCGTGCCAATCTGGCAAAAGATTTATTCTAGTTAAATCTGAGCTTGGTAATTTAAGTAATATGACTTTCAGCTTTTCCACTCAGTATATCTCGCTGGAAGTATTTTCTGAGCACTCAGCGTTTCATGATGACTGGTGGTAATCAGTGTCTTCTTGCAGCAGCGACATAACCTTTCAGTGTGTGGGAGCATAAAAAGCAGGTGATAATCATTAAACTCATCTGCTGCTCTCAGTAAATATGATTATAAACTGCTAAACACAGAGCATTAGTCATATGTCACAGAGAGCAGACTTACACCCCGGGGACCATTAACTGGAAACACAGCCACACCCCTGAACGTCACAGGACTACAAGTCCTTGACACTTTCAGTCAAAAAAATTTTTTTTGACCTTTTTCTGAGTCTCTTCCCTCTAAAGAAGGACAAAATCATTTTCTAAGTGCCTTACAAAACTGTCACAGACGAACACATGTGACTGTTCCCTGACCTATTGCCTCTGGGTAAGGTTTTGGTTAAGGTTCAGGGATAAAAACAGTTTGGTAAAAATGTGGGAAAGATGGTGACTTGGGTTAAAAACATCCTCTTTAAAGGCAGAGAACATGGTTAGAGTTAAAAGAAGACAGAACTTGGTTCAGGTTTGGAAAAGAAACCGAAAACCGAAAAAAAACAATGCCGTATATTTAATCAACATCCAAACGGACAGTTTTTTCTATGATGAGATTATTGAGATTAAATAAAATGTCTATTTGAAACAAACATGCTAATCTTAAATTTGATGCCAGCAACACATTTCAAATAGACAGGACAAAGTTTGGTAGTAACATCCCATCCCTGCTTGATGTAGGATTTTTTATGTCATGTCACTCAGGACTGTAGACACGCTAGTTTAATAGCAGGACTCTTCTACTACAGAGCCATGCTGTTGTAATTCGTGCAGAATGTGGTTTGGCACTGTCTGAAATATGAAGGTCTTTCCTGAAAAAGTCATTGTCTGGATGGCAGCGTATGTTGCGCCTAAACCTGTTTATATTGTTCAGATTACTGGAGCCTTCTCAGATGTATAAACTACTCATGACTTGGACACTTGTGATCCCCATACCATCAGGGATGCTGGCTTTAAACTGTGAGTTGATAACATGCTGAGTGGTCCCCCTCCTCTTTAGTTTACCCATGAAGCCCAGATGAAAAATGTTCGGAAGTTTCCAGGAATGTAAAGCATATGTAAAAGGGACTAAAGAAAGGACTCAGAGGAGGGCTTCTGTCACTATGTCCTCACCAAACGTTTGCTTGCTTAATGCTAGCTGTTTGGGTATAAGGAATAGATTGTTGGCTGCCTGCTGCCTCATCCTGCTAACCAGCTGACATTTAAGCCCCAGTTACTCTATATATTGCAAACTCCTGTGTACAGAAGGACTGCTGTGGCCAAAAGCTTCTCTTGTTTCGGATCCTGTTTTTATTTTCCTAAATTTTCACCAGGACTCAATGCAGCAGGCATCTGTCCTGCTTACTATAACTTCTTTTTAAGCTGTAACCACATTTTCATCAAACGATATCTACTGATGTACGGAATGGAACAGAAAGTAGAGGTCAAAGGGCAAACGTTGGGTGGAGTCCCAGCTTGGACTTAAGTGCTGCGTCCGAATTGCCAAGTAGTAGTCGAAGTAGTAGTCGAAGTAGTATCTAGCATGTCCGAATTGGCCACCGGAGCGAGTAGCATGCTACTTCAGATACTACTTCAGATGCTAGACACGCCCACATTGTAGGTTGGTCTCGGTGCATCCTACGGGCATGCTACTGACCCAAAATGCACCGCGGGCTTCTTCTTCGTCCTCTTAAAAGTTGTAGAAGCGCATGTGATGCTAGCGCCACCAGCTGCTCTGCCTATTTAAAAGTGTCGCGAACGCCGGCTGGCCACAGCAGCGCGCACCATGTCGGAGCAGTAGCAGCAGCAGGCGGGACCGCGGCAGTACAGATGTAAGTTTCATGTAACTTCACACACTGTCCTAAAAAATGTGCGGTTGTATCTCTTTGTCATGTCATGGTGTCATATTTGCCCAAGTAATCATTTTATGAGCAAGTGGCGACATCATGGAGGTAAAGCTCACTTATTCCATCATTAAACTGCACAGCTGCAGTACTACAGCCAGGCCCGCAGATGAGGGGCTTCAGTTACCACTGTCTGCACGGGCGCAGTACCTACTCTCTGCCTGCGGGGGTCGTCTTTCCCCACCGCTCGTCTAGTGTGTCCGAATTGGGCCAACGTTTTTAGTATGTAGGAGTAGGATCTAGCAGTAGCACGTAGCAGTAGCAGTAGCATGTAGTATCCGAGCGGGCAGTTCGGACGCAGCAATTGTGTGAGAAAGTTAGGGGAGGAGTTAAGGGGAGGTACATGAGACAGGAGAGGTTGTGTTGGGGGTTGGGGCTCCTGGCATCAACCAGTTCAGGCTGATTTGGATGTGGAGTCATGTTGGCTTGGCAGAGGCCCACTTCATTAGTGTCCTGATGCATTAGAGGTGAGGAGAGAGGGGAGAAGGGGGCGGGGGAAGAGAAAGTGGTTAAAAAAGGTTGTAAAATAGAGAAGAATTAAAGGTAAGAAAGAGGAGTGGGAGGAAGAGCTGAACTCTGACGGAGCCGGGCGGTCGTGTGTGTGTTTGGCTCTGCTCTCTAACATCATCATTAGTGCATGAAGGAGACCAGGCCCCACTGTGTGTACATGCATGTGTGCGTGGCGATTGATCCAAGAGTCCTTGCTGTCAGACCAAATCAGCTTAAAAGTGATGAAGGTCTGTGAGTAAGGCGAGTGGAGACGTTCGGTTACGCAATCGCTCTCTGAGATTTCCCCTCAATTTAGTTATTAAGTGTCTCTGTGAGTTTGTAGCGGGGGATGTTTGTGGCGCTGATGTGTGGTCCTCATTAGGGCAAATAGGGTAAATATCTTTTTGTTGTGGCCAGGATTTCAAGCACTCTCACAGACTTCCAAAAAAATTACTGTGTGTGAAAGAAAGAGAAGATTATGTGGGAGGAAAGAGAGAAAAATGTCAAAAACCTTCTGAATTCCTGTAAATTGGTCATCCCCCCTACCGAAAATAAAACCCCTACGAGAGAAACCGGAGCAATTTCATGGTCTGGCCTGCCCTCAATATTATTTAAGTAATACCCTGTTATTATTGAAGAGAGGGAGAGAAAGGCGAATGACTATTATCTTTATGTGGGTCCTTTAATTTTAATGCGCCACAGATTTATAGCTGGGCATTCCAGTGGGGAGAACCCCTCCCTGCTCTTAAAGCGAGCGGGCGGGACACGACCGCAACGCTCTCACAACAGCCACTACCTCCTGACAAACAACCGAAAGCCCCACTTTCCCTCCCAACACTTCGTCCGGCCCTCCTCGCGGCTGTCACAGAGCCTTCCTGCTGCTCCTGACAGCCCTGAGGATCTGCCTCTGTCAGAAGGAGAGCAGCTACACCCATCACAGAAACAAACACATTTCTACACCCACCCTCATTGTCTGTATTTATAATCTCCAGTTTTCTCTTTCCCGGTCTTTCTCATGTGTCCTATTTTAAATTATCCTTTAAACTTTGATAGGATAAAGTGAAATTTTGAGTCGTCTGAGACTACAGAAATCCAGATAGACTTATCCAGAGTCCATCTTTGTCTTGTGTCGGCTTCTGTACCAGCAGGAGGAAAGTTAAATCTTTTTGGCTCTAAGTTTGGTTTCTCAGACTATGTTCTTTTTTTGGTGAATCAAAATTTAAGAAAAAATCAAACACACCCTAACACCGAGTTAGATACCCCGTCGCGAGATGAATGTTGCCAACTGCTTGCTTCTCTAACTACACCAAATTCAGTAACGACCGCAGAAAGCAATACAGACAGCCACACGCTCAACCAAAACGCCACTCTATAGCCACAAATAATGCTCAGAACAGCACCTAACTTCATCAACAGTACATATAGGGTCCCAGCCACAGCACTAGACACCAAACATCTTTTTAGCTTGCCTGATTTCTCTAGCAAAGAGACCACACTCAACTCACCTACTCTCTTCCAGCAGCCACTTAATTTTACACCGAAGTATCCCTTTCAGCAAACTCATCTGGAAAGGTTTAAAATGACCTGAGCTTGTTTGACTGTGACAATGTAGCCCTCTGGCAAACATGCTCACCTGTTATGCAAATTCATGTATGCTTCTTAACCTTTACATTATTTTATCAGGTGGATTATAAATGAAATCCCCGTCTTTGATACAACATACAAATACAGTACACTAAGATATAAAAATGGAATATAACTACAGCAAGCTTTGTTTTGGAGTTGCGTGTGTTTCTTAAAGTGCATCGTTTCAGAATTTGAAGCATGTGTCTCCCAAAAAAAGATCTTTCAGGCTGTTGCAGATCGATTTGGGCCATTGCCTTAGCAGCTAGCGAGATGAGCTATTCTTGCATGATTAATAATTTGACAATGAAGCTTTTTATTTCTAGAGAGGCACTTCTGTTTGTTGGGGGCAGTACATGAAGTACTTTCAGACAAAACTTCACCTTGTCACCCAAGTATCACTCATTGTGAGTGTTTTCTGTAGCAACATTGTAAAAATGCTGTTATTTCATCTGCTGTAAATCACCTGGTCTGACACCTCTTCTATCACAGCAGTTTCAGGCTTTAAAAATTACAACAGAATAAGTAGGTGTTGTTTGTGATGGTCTCATTTGCCTTTGATAGCCATAGAGAGGCAACAGTGTCAGTTTCAGTCCTTTTCTCACAGTGCTTTTAACTTTTCAAAAGAAATTATCTGTACTTGCAGGATTAGAGTTTTACAACCGAACCTCTATTATTTCAAGAAAGGGACTGTTGTTATTGTGACCAATTGCCTGACTAATAAAGATGAATGCATGAGTCTTGAAGGCCACCTTGTGCTGCTGGGTTTGAATGTCAAATTTTTGATTTTATGTTCCCCACACTTATTAAAAGATGAACTGAAACGTTCTTTCTATCGGCTTGTTATCAACGATTCCAGATTTCTATCTTAAAATAGCATCTCTAAAATACTTGTCTGAAAAGCACTAAATTGTGTTGGATTTACCAGTTTTCATTTTTAAAAGATACAATCAAACTCATTTTTCTTTCTCCTTAAAACTTCTCCCACTCAACCTCTAACTTTTGCCAACATGCTACATTCATGTGCAGCTTTTTCTCCATCTTGAGTTAATTTCACTTAAATTACTTTTTGCCCCCTCTTAATCTCCACACTCTGTCCTCTCTTAGGTTTTTGAATGGGCTGGTTAAAAAGTGACGGGATGTCTTAAGTTAGTAAATAAGAGACTTCCTGGCAGACAGGTGGTTGACCTTTTACTAGAGCTAATCTTACACACACACACACATTAGGTCAAAGGTACATTGGATAGAAAATATTTTGTTGTCCGGCCTTGGAGCAGGTTAATAGACCGTGTCACCCTACGAGCTGTGAAACACTCATTCTCACCCTCGACTCACCCTGCAGACCTCGCAGGCTACTGTGTGCCAGAGGGGACGATCACTGTTGTTTTAAGATATGAGATTACTGTCAGATACAGATTATTCTGTTTTCATTTTAATGATGAGCATGATGGTGCAGTTTAGTCTGACATAGATGGCTCCCAAGTGCATTTGTTGGTATTTCTACTCATCCTGAAACCTTTACTTGGAATAATGTCAATGACTTCTTGGAGAGCTAAAAGGCTGAAGTAGATGATGACTAATATTGTCAATGAATCGTCTCATGTGATTTTAAATTGCCTCCAGGCTGCAGTCTTGATCAGGGGTCACTGTGCCCCATTAATCAGCTCTTCTGTCTCTCTCGGCAGGCGCTGCACAGGCCGCCACCAACTCCAATGAAGGAGCACCACCTGTCTCCGATGCGTGAAGAGCAGCTATCTAACCAGGTGAAGGAGGAGGGGTCGCAGGCTGTGGGAGGAGGAGCTGCAGGGGGAGGATGTCCACCTGGCGCAGGTGGGAGCGGCGGGAGCGGCAAGAAGCCACGATCACGCACCAAGGTAAAGTTACTCTACGTTTGAGTCCATCAATAGATTTGTACAGGAAGGGAGGTTTGGTTATAGAACTAAACCAAATACCACAGTGATTTAAATTGTAAAGAGGTCATCTTAATGGAAAACACTAGTTAACTCAATGACAATGACTTTGTGGCATGGCAACAGTGGAGGAGGGTTATGGAATGCCTTAAAGAGATACTGCTGAAATGAAGCGATTCAGAGGATAAAATACGTGTTTTCAAATACACTGATCTGAGATAAGATAATAATCAAGAAAATGATCATAATTGTAGAGTATTCAACTGACCAAAGGTTGCCAACTCTACACCTTAGGTCAAGTCTTTGTGCTGTGGTCTTTTTTGAGTTTTAAACTCATTCTTCATGTCTTCTTCTAGATTTCTCTAGAGGCTTTGGGGATCCTGCAGAGCTTCATCCAGGATGTGGGCCTGTACCCGGATCAGGAGGCCATCCACACCCTTTCAGCACAGCTCGACCTGCCCAAACACACCATCATCAAGTTCTTCCAGAACCAGCGCTACCATGTCAAGCACCACGGCCGCCTCAAGGAGCTGGGCGAGGGAGCTGCCGCCAGTGGAGGAGTGGACGTCAGCGAGTACAGAGAAGAGGAGCTGCTTTCAGGTTCAGAGGACCCTGAGTCCAGTGAGGATGGGGCTGAGGAGATCTACCATCCCACAGAGGGGAATGAAGGGACCACAGGGGGCATGAACCAGCCGCCAGCGTCCTCCAGCTCCAACTCCAGCCAGTTATCCTCGGGAAGCAATGGGCAGGAAGAAGGCAAAGACAAGGGGCATGGCCGAGCTGGTGGAGCTTTGGCTCCTGGGAGCTCCTCATCCAGTCCACGTGAGCAGGCTGACTACCAAAGGTAGAGACTGACTCAAAAAGGGAGGACAGGATGGAAATAAAATGAGATAATGAACAGGTGATAATGTTAAAAGAAAGAGGACTGGATGGAGGATGGATGCAGAGAAACGGTGTGAAAGTTCACGTCTAAGTCGGCACAGATTTACCAGAAACCATTAGGCCGAATACTGCACAGAGTCTTTATAGTGACAATCTCAGACAGATATCTGTGAAAACCTGACATGTAGAGTGAAAATACCTCAGCAGGTTTGCAGTGCTGTGACACAGAAGTGGTTGTGCAACTGTGAAAATAACTTTTCCAAAAACCATTCACTTGTAAACTCTCCGAAAATGGTAAAACTTTTGCTGCTCATCCCTCCAACCAACAGAGACACGTCAATCAAAACTCTACGACTAAAATCGACAAAGATCGTACACCCTTAATCAGCCACTCCAAGGAGGCCTCCTCTCTAAATCTGAGCACAGTCACATAACACATCCTCCTCTACATGCTGGGTTGAACTCGCCCCAGGAAGTGACTTTTAAAAACTGGATCTGGGGCCTTTTCAAACCTCTACAATCCAATGAATCCTCAGGACACACTGACTGATGTTGCTAATGCTGTTGCCTGCCTGAGACCATGGACGGACCATGGCGCTGACTGTCTATCATTAAGAAAACAGATGAGAAAACCACCTGAAACCCTCGCCCTCGCCTCACGAACACACTCCAGAATCACTACCAGACCTATTTAGCACTTACTGTTCACTGAGACACTATGGATGTGATGTAATGTTGCCTCATTTCCTGCGTATCCTTCATGGACAGTACAGCAGGAGGATGTGGGGGGACAAATCTTTTGGATGTGGCGTGAGGGGGGGGGACACTAAGTTTGTGAAAACTTTTCAAGAAAAGAACGGATAGAGTGGAGATTCAGCAACCAAACAATCAGTCACTTTATGTGCGGTAGTTCCACTCACCCTCTCCTCCCTCCACCTCCCCCTCTTCCTCTCCCTAATTGAAGCCCACAGTCTTGTGTTTCACCACACCTACCCGCACTTAAACTTCACCAACCCTATTTATTGCTATCTTTATCCATGATTATTATTATCATTATTGTTATTATTGTTGTTATTATGGTTAGAGTTGCTGTCATTGCGAGCTATTTTTAGTTTTATTTCCATGGTTTTTAAATATTGGTTTTCAGAGCTGGGCGGTTTGTTCGGGCAACACAAGACATTAAGAGCACTCTGCCCCGAGGAAGAGAAGGAACAGAGGGTGGTGAAGATAAAAAAAAAAAGAAGCAGTTACTGAGTGTTATTGGGTATGACGAGATCCTGTCATGTTGTATTATGACATTTTTTTATCATTATTTCCAAAAAAATTATAGATAAGACTTGTTTAAAAAAGAAATAAGAAGCAGAACTGAGCTTTTTCTGATGTTGATGACAATCTACTTTTTTGAGCCATGAAAGAAAAGTGGCAGGTTTGACTCTGTTCTTCACTTTTGATGTCTGTAAATACCCAACGTGGGATAAATTGTTATTGATATGCTTTTTTTTTTTTTTTTTTTTATTTTCCGTGTGACTTTACGTGTTTGAGCCAATTTGGAGTAACAGAAAAGTTCTTTGTTATTTTTTTTTTTTCAGGACAACTCAGTGAAATCAGTTTTTTTTTAGTAATGGGCCAGACAAATTCAATCACAAGAGTATTTAAATAGAGTTCATCAGGGCTGTTCCCTAAAGCCTGGTTTATTCTTATGCATTGACTCTGCACCTAATATGTGAGTGTTTGCACTGCTTTGCAATACTCCACCTAACGCTGAATTTTGTGCTTATTTATGCACAAGAAACCCTGGTGACTGATTCTAACACAGCATTTGACCATACTGATGTTTTGCAAAGAAGAAAAGAGACATCAAACGGGAAGGGCTGAGTGTTTGCTGAATCTTTGTAGGTAAACAGCAGGAGGCAGACATATTGTAAATGCAGGTAAAATAAACAAGCACCCTTAGGATCGAGGTCTGAGTTTTTTCAACATGCGGTTACTTTTTGGTGAGGTGCGTAGTCATGGGAGTAGGCTACACAAACTTATGGCGCGGGCTATGATGTAGAAGTATAAACCAGGCTTAAAAGCTGACCGTGCCGATCACACGCAGAGGAAAGCCCAAGCAGAATCTAACTTTGTCAGTCGAAACCCTGCACTTTGTCCTGAGCAGCTTCACCAAATCTCAAAATGATATGTCTGTGTTCATCTATCAAAGGGACTATAGCTGGGACCATTTTCAAGCAAGGTAACTCCCTTTTCTGAAACAAAGCCTATATCAAGCCTGAAAAATGCAGTTTAAAAAACTGAGCTAACTGAGCTGCCACTAGCTTGTTCTAGTTTTTAAGTTAACTTTAAGGGGTATATTTCAGTCTTCAATCTTGAGTCTTTGACCAGGTGCTGAATGATCTGTGTGGGTCTTATTTTCATAAAAACAAAGGGTCTTCATGTTTGAAAAGCTGTTTTTTTTTTTAATTCACATGTGCTCTGTTTGTAGAAAAACAACAGTTCCTCTATTTATCAGAGCAATCGAAACAAGTGAAAATACAGAAGAAGGCAGTTCAAGAGAAAAAGCGTTTCCCTAAAGGTCGTCCACAAACAAGTGGTGTCAGCCTAGGCTGCAAGCTGAGCTTCTGTTATCTATTTATAAGTTTGTTTGGTGGTTTTAGGGCTAAGATCTCAGAGTCCAAAGTTAAAACTAAAGTCTCTGTTCTGATTATACTTAATCAAAAAAATCAGAATAAATCTACCTATTGACAAGAAAACTCAGCGATGTTCCAAAGCTCTTTTGCAGACACAGGGTGTAGAGATGAGCTGCTAGCTGAGCAGCTGCAACATTATTTGCAGCAGCTTAATTTTTCCAAAGCCTAAATATCCAAAGAGGTTTTCTACTCTTCAAAACAAACAAATCTGGCAATCAAATGAATAAGAAAAAAAGAAGCTGTACTTCAAATTTTAGGTTCTCAAATGCTCTAAGCCCCCCAGGAGTGTAAGGCCAGGTTGCAAGCTGAGCTGCCACAAATAGCTTTGTAACAAATAATCAAAGTGGTTTCGACTGACAAACTCAGAATTGGGTACAGCCCTGGAGTTCAAACTTTTTATGTCTGGTGCCATTGATGTAAAAGTCTAATTTACGTCCAGAACAATCTCTAACAACGGATAGGATATTTTTCTTTGACTATTCTGATCGGCTGCTACACTCAAACATGTCCTGCCTTTTCAGTAATCACTCTGTACAGTGATGTTGTGCTTTTCTGTATGACAGGAATCAGGGTTTGACTCAAATGCAGTTCCAATGAAATCTAAGTTCATCCAGCGTTGAAGTGAATTAAAATTTGTGAATTCAAAAACCTTGTGTTTTTTCATTTGCATGACATTATTATCATCAGACATTTTTATGGCTCCTCACATTCACACAGACATGCATGTTGTAGCGGGGCCAGGCGTTCCTTCGAGCAGCCAATCAATTAAAAGTCTGTGTAAAGCCACAGGGGCTGCTAATAAGTGACAGTAATTCACACTGAAACCTAGCCAGCAACTCAAACCCTTTCCCCTTCTCTCTCTCACTCCTGCACCGCAATATTAGAGCGACTGGAAGCTGCACAGTCCCACTTTATCAGCAGTTATTGAAAACAATGAGCCTGCACAGAGGAAAGGTCCCACTGTCTCAGAGGTTTATATTCCTCATTGTTTCTGGAGAATATATATGAAAATGCAATGTAGAAAATTGCACTAACAAGCAGTGAAATTATACATGCACATAAACAGACTTTGGATAGATGGCTCAGGTCATTGGTTGCACAATGAAAGCCCTCAGTTTTGCTGTAACTAGCTCCCATCCTTTATATTTCTCTCTGGATCGGCCACGTTTGTGTCTGCAGTGGAATGACGAAACTTTTCTCACCAGTTAATATCCAATCACTGCACACTATGCTGCAAGTGGAGTCACTGTGGTCACATCCAATGAATAGCACAATGTAGCCCAAAGCACTGAAAGCTCTGACTGGCATTAAAAGACTTGTTTATAAAAGGCTTAGGGTTAATGCATTCTATATAATACGTGCATATTCTATATTGGCAATATTCAACCAAAATGCTTTAAAATATAATTATCAGCAGCATTATATTTACATTTAGAAGGCCAGGGCTGTAGAACTACACCTAAAGTTTAACAAAAAAAAACCAAAATGAATTGAACTCTGCACTTGCTGTGTGGTTGCATTCCTAGTTTCGACTTCTTGCATAGTCTTAGCAACACCATCAAGAGTAGAAGATACTTGTTCATCTCAGTGTCCGAGTCACTCTGCAATAGTCTATTTAACGCTAGTTTTAAGTTTCCAGTTCAGCTGTTTGTGCACAGGCATCAGAGTATGTCAAGTTAGAGTCAGAGCCGTTTATCGAGACGAGTCAAAGGTCAGCTGCTGAACTGAACAGCGATACCTGAAATGGTTTAAATACAGGAAATATGATTCTACCTGTTGGGCCAATCACAGGGTTTAAAGCCTGCATTGTTTATCTTTGTTATATTTTACAGTAGGTACTTTGTTTGCAGGCTTCTGTAAAGATACAGGGGTGTACAAACCTACAGCATATGCTATGGTGCAGATTTCGCTTTGTGATTTCATGGTTTCCCTTTCTAACAGTAAGAAGAAGCTTTAGATGCATGACTGTGATTCAAAAAAAGACAGGGGTGAAAACTGAAGTCCTCCAAACAAAATAAATAGAAAGTAAATAAAAGAGACCTTTTTAAGGGAAAAGTCAGGCTGTATTTATGATTTTCACAATAAAATAAACATATCCACACCCAGCTCAAACCCAATATCAGGAATGTTTACAGAGAGAAGCTCATGATACTCTCTGAATGTTAACTATTTTAGATACCTACTATAATAGCTTAAATTACACAGTATGAAGGCTATTGTGGATTTGGGTTTTCAGCGGAGAGCTCTCTGCTAACTCATCGAACCACTGGGCCTACACA